GTCCAACCTGCCTCCTTGCCTACCAGCTACCTACAGGTTCACTGTTCACATGGTACTAAAGTCTCTAGCCAAGAAAAATAGGCAAGAAAATGCAGGAAAGACTGCCCCCAAGTAATTTATCAGTATTCACCCTGGCTGATGCTCCGTGTGAGAGAGACTGATAATTGTCTCCCCACCACCCCATGAATTTCATTCTCTGCTTCATCTCTACAGTTTAACCTGTTATCTACTAACATACACTCTGCTACAAAGTGTTCACCAAAAGTGCGTAGGTAAAGCAGAAGGGCAGGATGGTCTATCAGTGAGTGTGTGGGAGAGACAGTTGAGAACATAAGCTCCATATGACAAGCTGGGCTGAACATAGTTTATCTAGGGTGAAGTCCTCTCTAACATACTGGGGATTTGGACTGCTGAAGAACAAGAGAAGGAAGGGTACTCCAGTCATGGTCCAAGGCCTAGGGCACAAGGAAGCCTGGGCCTGAGGCCCCCCGAGGTTGCCTGAATGCAGGGAGCACCCTGGAGACAAGAGTCCTCTGATATGGAGAAGAGGGGCCTTCTTCTGAAGTGTGGTGTGATCAGAGGGAATGTGGCAGGCAAAATAACACCCCCTCAAAGACGTCCACACCCCAATCCCTGGAACCAAGGGGAACTGAGGTTGCAGAGGGAATTTACTAATTGGCTTCCTAACCAAAAAAGTTACTAACTGGCTGACTTTAATATAGGGAGAGTATCCTGGATTATCTGGGTGGGCCCAGTGTAATCACAAGTGTCCTTTAAAGTGGAAGAGAGGAAGCTAGGAAAACCTAATCACAGTAGAGAATGCCTAAGTGGTCACAAACGCACTGTTAGTGGACATGTGCTTGTTGAAGATGCTGCTGACAAGGACCCAGAAGGCAATGAGGAGCATGCTGCTGGAAACTGGAGCTACATGACAGAGGATCCAGGCCACACAGGGACTCAGGGGAATCATGCGCTGTTATATGGAAAGGCGAACTTGTAAGTGATGAACCTGAATATTCAGCTAAACAGATTTCCATGAAAAGTGTCAAAGGTGAAGCCTGGTTTCTTCTTGCTGCTTACAGTTAGATGTGAAAGAAGAGAGAGAAACTGAGGGAAGAACTGTTAACCCAAAAGCAACCAGGACTTAATGGTTCTGGAAATACGGAGGCTACCCAAACAGCAAAGAATGCCAACATTAAGATTCACTGTCAGAAAAACATGCTCTAGAAAAGATGCCAAGAGTGTGGCTGTATAAATTTTTGCTAATAAGTATCTCAGAAAGATCGAAAGTTCAGAGTACTGAGTCACACAAAAGGCTCTTTGAAATAAGCCCATGAAAAGATGCTCAGCATCATTAATCACTAGAGATATGCAAATCAAAACCACAATGAGGTATCACTTTATACCCATTAGATGACTATTATTGAAAGCAAAAACAGATAATAACAAGTGTGGATGAGAACATGGAGAAATCAGAACCCTTATGCAGAGCTTTTGGGGATGTAAAAGGGCGCAGTCACTGCAGACAAGTTTGGTGCTTCCTCAAAAGTTAAAGTACCACATAGTCCAGCAGTTCCATGCCTAGGTATATACAGCACAGAAAAGGAGACTCAAACTGACATATATACGCCAGTGTTCACAGCAGCATGATTCACAATTTCCAAAAGGTGGACACAACCCAAATGTTCATTAACAGATGAGTGAGAAAACAAAATGTGGTCTACCCACACAATGGGATATTACTTTGCCTTAAAAAGGAATGAAATTCTGGTATGTGCTACAATGTGAATGAATCTTCATAACATTATGCTAAGTGAAATAAAACGGACACAAAAGAACTGTTGTATGATTTCACTTACATATGTTACCTAGAACAGGCAAATTCAGGAACACAAAGTAGAACGGCGGTTATAAGAAGCTGGTGAGGGTGGAGGAATGGTGGGATGTTATGATTTAATGGATAGTTTCTTTTTAGTTCTTTTACATGAATTGGTAATGATGGTTATACAACATTGTGTATGTACTTACTGCCCTCAAATTGTACACTTAAAATGGTCAAAATGTTAAATTTTATGTTATGCATATTTTTCCACAATTTTTTTAAAAGACTCTTAGAAGAGATTAATCATGTGGCTCATAGATCTCCTTAGCTGGCTTACGTCAAAAATAGAGATGGGATTATCTAGGAAAGATACATAGAGGAGCCTCTTGTCTCTTGAAGTGAATTTCTGTGACATACCCAGGAGTCCCACAAGCTTACTGAGGATGTTATATCAGCAGAAACACTACCAGCTTAGACTGAAAGGGGCAGAGAGGACAAAAGGATGTCAATCTACAAAATTCTACAGGCAGGCAACAGGCTGATAAAACTGCTGAGCTGTAAAAGGGCTTAAAGCTGTCATTGAAAAGGAAAGATGACTAAGAGGGTGAAATCTCATGCCCAGCGGTGGGCCACAAGCCCAGGGGCTTTTTCACAGGGCTAGACAGCAGCTGGATTCTGAAATAGCTTGCGAACAATGATTCCTTTCTTCATTTTCTCCCTTTTGAATGGGAAAGTCTCTTATCTCATGCCCACCCCACCATCACATTGCAGAAGCAGGTGACTTGTTTCCTAAGTTTCATAGGTTCACAGGTGGAAAGGAACTGTGCCCAAGGATGAATTATTCTGAGCCTCTCTCTACCTGGTTTAGATGAGATTGGAGACTTTTGGGCTGATCAATTTTCTTCTTATGTACAACACTGTCCATTTGTGTTTGAAGATCCATATGGTCTGAAGACTGCCCAGTGGCTTAGCCTCAGTCATGTGTTCCACCCCAACCTCATGTTACCCTGCTCCAAGGACAGTGCACATGACCTCGACTAATCCAGTAGGAACGCTCCACCTAGAATGATTCAAGGTGGGCATGTGATATAAGTGGATGCCATCAGTTTGGCTGAAAATTCTGGGACAGACACGGTATCTTTCCAGCAGGACACAAACAAGGAATTATAACACCTCAGGCAATGCTGGCAGTGATACCAGAACCTCAGGGCTACAGACTTAGAAAAAGAACACCTTGTAGAACAAAGGAGAGGAACTGGGTCACTGGTGATGTCACTTGACTTCTGGATAAAGCCTCATCTCACCTAGAATATGTACTTACCTGAGCCCTTTATTGTTTGGGCCAATTTGAGCTGGGTGGTCTGTAACCTACAACCAAGTTTCCCAATACATAGGTGCGTTATGCTTTTTTCATATACAACAATACTAGTATTATACACAGCAGTAGTAGTAGTAGTAAATGGCAGTATTAACATTAGTATAACCCTTCAGGTTCCCTGACCCAATTCCAATGTGTGTGCGTGTATAGGACGGGAGGTCTTCCCACACATAACACCAAGCAATTCTTCAACACTAGCAGGGAATCTGAGAACTCAACTCAATTCTGATGCTATCTGTCCAGTGACAGCTCCAGATTCCCAGGTTAAAGGCTCCAACCTATTAAGACTGCCCTCCACCCCTCATTCCAGATGCCAGTTGCAAGCCCCAGGCTGTTACTGTGCTTCTGACCTACCAGCTACAGATTGGAGGTTCCCACAACCTCCCCCTCAGGTTTGATTAATTTGCTAGAGCAGCTCACAGACCTCAGGAAAACATTTATATTTACCAGTTTAATAAAGGATACCATAAAGGATACAAGTTAACAGCCAGATGAAGAGACACATAGGGCAAGGTCCCAAATAGAGGAGCATCTATCCTCTGGGAGCTTGGGGCCTGGCCCCGTGGCACGTGGAGGTGCTCTGGCTCCCCAGGCATAGCTCTCTGACTGCAAAGCAGGATGCGAGAGCTCGGTATGCTCTTCTTGAGGGTTTGTGTGAGGGCTTCGCTACATAGTCGCAATTTACTGAATCATTGACCGTTAGGTGATTCAGCCTCCAGCCCCTGCCCTTGGGTGGGGTCCAAAAGTCTCTCATTAACCTGACAAGACACCCATTTCATCTTTAAGACTCTGCAGTGTTTTCAGGAACTGTGGATGAAGACCAGAGTATCTGGGAAATATATATTTGGTCATGTGAATAACCAAATACATATTTCTTATGACTCATTGTATGACAGTAGGGTGGATCTGGGAGAGGCCAGAGGTTCTCGGGAGTTGTGCTGAATCCCTAGGGAAGCCAACTCTGAGATGAAGTGTAGGGTGCGGGACATTTATGAATGAGTGCCCGAGTCCACAAGGGAGGGAGGGAGGAGACTATGCAGAGCGGGCAGAGGAACACAGTCAAGCTGCAATGCAGGCCTAGGGATAGTTTCTCCTGACCCTACAGGGAGTTCTGGGGCTGAAAGAGCCCTTCAGAGTTACCCCAAGTTAGGCCACGATGGCTGGGCCTTTGGTATTTGGACATCAAGCAGTCATCCTGTGTGGAAAGGGACGTGACCTTGTATGAGGTGACTTTCTGCAATGAGGCAAACGCTGAAGGGTCCAACCAGCTGAAGGGTATCCACCAAGAGCACTCCCCGTAACTGAAGCAACAAGGCCTTGCTCAAAGGGGATCCAGCCCATCTCTGAATCTACCACAAAAAAGGACTGGAGGGGGGAGTGGGGGATGTGCCTAACTATACACCTGAGTGTGAGTTTGTGTCCACATCCATATGCAGTTGTGGTAGAGGCAGTGGAGAGACAGACGGCTGGACGAGAAGACAAATGGCCATCAGCAATGAAGGACCCACAAGTTCCCAGGTATATAAACTCAAGGAGTCTCCCCTCCAACCTGGCACTGGCCTCAACCTGCCTGGGTACAGATCAGTAGGGCAACTGGCTCCCACTGCACCCGGGAGGGGGCGGACCAGAGCCACAGCCCATGGAGACCCAGGCAGAGAGGTCACTCCAGCACTACTCTCAAGAAGTTTTGAGCCCCAAATGCAGTCGGCACAGCTGCCCACCCCTTATCTTAAGACAAAGTCTATTCCTACCACATCTTCTCAAGGTCTAGCTGGGAACCCCCAGGCACCAGCAAAGAGCAAATGCAAATCCAGCTTTATTAGCAAAAATGAATGGTAGGCTTGACTGGGAATTCCCATCTGACCCAAGCAGCAGAACCAACCAGAAAGGAGAGAGGGAGGAGGAAATTGCAGACTAAGGTGTGAGTGGGGATGTGGTCTTGGAAGGCGATGGTTCAAGGCTCCAGGTGTCGGGGCGAGAGCAAGGATGAAGGGGGGGCCATGGCCTTGCCATCTAGAATGGTAGCAGCTCTTCCACAGGGATGCTGAGGACGACATCCATGTCTGGGCTGCACCTGGTAGGGAAGAGCAAAGCGAGGTGTGAGAGGCCCAGCAGGGGCACCAGAGCTGCAGGGTTGGGGAGCAGGACCTCAGGTACTTACTGGGGAAGCCCCATCCCAAAACACAACCTGTAACCTCGCAGCCCAACTGTGTATGCACACATACACATACACACACACAGACACACACATCAACAATGGAAGAGGAATGGGGTTGGCGGAACTAATGTTCCCCTTCTGAGGTCAAGGAAGAATTGGAACTCAGCTCCGAAATGCTGGAGCCCCTAGCAAGAGCACTCCCTCTGGAGTCAGAATGACAGGTTAGGAAACCTGGCTGTTCATGTCACCTCAAGCAAACTCCTCTCTGTGCCTCCCTCCTTCGGTTGGCATCTACCTAACAAGCATTCACTGTATGACAGACCCCCAAGTGAACCTGTCTCCTCATCTGTCAAGTGGGGGTATTAATTACAGCCTCAGTTGTTGGCAAGCAGGATCAAATGGGACTGTGCTGCATGCAATCAGTGCTCAGTAAATGACAGGCATTATTCTTTCTGTACAGGAAGCGAGAGCAATGGGTTTCCATCTGCACGGTAACCCCCACCTCATGACTCACAACTTAGAAGGCTGTAGGATTACACGCTTTCTGCACTCTCTCCTAATTTTCCCATCCACTCTCATGGTTTCAATAACCTACCGGTGCACATGTAATACACACATATTTAGGCATGAAATGTCAGGACTTCTACAATTTATAATACTTCTGAAGGAAAAAAGGGAAGAAAGGAAGATGAAGCCAATATGGCAAAAATATAACTTCTAAATACAGATGGACAACTCAGAACTCATAATATTTTCTCAACTTTTCTGTGTATTTGAAAATTTTCAAATAGTTAAAAAAATACAACAAAAAAATCATCTCTAAACTGGCAATGCCCAAATTTCCATCTCCAGTCAATACCTGTCTTCTGAGGCCTTTGCTCTTATGCTCAACTGCCTCCCTCCTGGGTCCATACTGAGGCCTCTCCTAAATTAGATCTAATGTCCATTCAACTGCTCACTGCAGCTACAAATGCATCTTTCACTCCTATCCTCAGGCTTCCCTATCTCTGGATTTGGCCCCGCCACTTATCCTACTATAAAAGCCAGGAACCTAGGGGTCATTCTTGACACCTTCCTGTCCTGTAGTCCCACATCCAAATATCCCCAAGATCACCTTCTTAATCATCTCTCCAGTCCATCACTTTCTTCTCTCTCTTCTGCTACCTACCTTGGCAAGCCACTCCCAACTCCCCCCTGGACCACTGCCATCAACCAGTGGACTCCCAGCATCTACTCCAGCTCCTTTCCAATCGCTTCTCAATGCTCTTTTCAAAGTGACTTCTTTGAAATGCAAGTCTGATGTCACCACTCAGCTTCAAAATTCTTCCCCTCTAGATCAGATACAATATCCGCACCTTGGCTTACAGGGCACCGCATGGAGGTCCCTAAGGACTGGGCCACCCTGCTCCTTCCCTGTCACTCTCCCCGTCACTCTGCATTCCAGCCTCACTGGCCTCACTCAGCTCCACATAAACACAGAGTTCCCTCCTGCCACAGATTCTTTACAGCCTCACTGCTCAACACGTGACGCACTGAGCAGCAGTGTCACCACCACCCAGCAGCCTCTTAGAAACACTGTGGAGCCCACTCCTATAGGCTCGGAATCTGCTTTTTAACAAGATCTCCAGGTGACTCCAAGTTGGAGGTCTACTTCTAGTGTGCCATTCCCACTTTGCAGGAGGGGAGAGCTTCTTCCCACTCCTGGTGTTTCCCTCCTGTGGAAGGGCATCCAGGAGCATATTTGCCCTTTTACTTGCTCTGTCCTAGAACAGTACCTCCTTCAACGGTGAGTCTGCAGGAGGAATGGGGGGCATGGGGGCACCTCCGTTCTCTCTCAGCAAAAAACAGCCCACAGGGAGTATACTCTCCTCTGCTCCAAGGCAGCTACCAGGTAGCTCAATGGGCTGAAATCTGGCTTCAGTATTCAGAAGCCAGCATGTCTGGAGATAGAAGCCCCATCCTCTAGAACCAACTTTCTCAGAATGAAAGTGATAATCTGGCCCATGTCTGCCTGACCACTTTCAGTCTTATTTCAATGTGAATGTGTTCAGAGCTCAGATAGGGACACTGAGCACCTATTTATGGTATCCCCCAAAGATCCCAGTACTACCACCTGATAATGCCCTTCCTTCCACACCCCCTACAGCCCCCCAGGGAACTTCTGCACATCCTTCAGACCATAGGTCAAATGTCGCCTCCTCAGGGAAACCATCCTTGCCTGCCTCATACTCCTCACTGTTGGGAAACAGTCTCCCAGACCCACATGCCTCTCCTTCCATGGTTCTTGACTCAGCTGCAATTAGACACTTGCAGCTTCGTATTGATTAATGTCAGGTCCCTTCCTTGGCTCCATGGTGGCAGGGCCAAGGACTGTTACACTCCCAGTGCCTGGCACTTCACAGGCACTTCATAAGTCTGATAGCATTTTTTAAGGAAAATAAAAAAAGGAATAGGAGGTAGAGGCGGCAACAGACACAGACACTACAAAGAAGAAAAAACAAATAATTCCCAAATGCTGGGATCTGCCCCACATGGCTTACAATACCCCAGGTTCCTGCATGCCATCACAGAGAGCCCTGCCTCGTGGGATCCCCAGGCTCTGCCACAGAGGGCCTGATCCAATGGAGAGCAGGAAGTCCTTCCTGTGGGGCTCGGAAGTCTACCAAGCAAAGAGGGCATCCTTCCCTCTCTGCAGTGTGTCTTCCAGGTCATTCTTCCTTGGAGCCAATGACCCCCCTCAACTCTTTCTTGAACAACCCAGGAGCTTAGCGGTGTACCTGCCAGGCCCTGTGAGTGTAAACACGGAATGTGGGCACTGGAAGGGTCCACAGAGATTACCTAACTCAGCCTGCTGTGTAGAGACGGGACACTAATGCCCAGGCTGGAAAAGGTCACATCTGCCCACGGTCAGTGGCAGAGCTAAGGCAACACCCAGGAATCCTCCCTCCCTGTACAGCATCCTGCCTTTCACAGCAGGCTGCTTCCCCAAGAGCAGAGCGCCTCTGGGAGCCCAGAAAATAGCCAGCTTAAACAGCAGCTGCAGGAAGATCACATACTTGGGTCTCCGAAGCAGAACATCTGCAAATACAACCTCTCGGGGTTCCTGGATCTGGACTTGCAGCTGTTCCACCTCGGCCTTCAACATGGGTATTTCCTCCTGGAACAGCTTGATAAACTGCGAGAAAAGGCATGGCAGGGGAGAGTGAGAAGCCCAGTGTCCCCCAACCAACAGGAGACAAGGGCAAAATGGAGGAGGAGTGGAGACATCCGGGGAAATAGCCTAGCCTTTGTCAGTGGGACTTCCTGGAATCCAGTGGGGGGCCTTTCCATGTGGAGCAGGGCTGGCTCTCATCAGTGACACTGTCTGATGGCCCTGAAAGAGGTGAGGGGACCACAGGTGGTAAGGGGAGGTGGGGGCAGTGCCTGATGGGAATTAATGGGGGCTGGCGGAGATGGTGAAGGCTGCTCATACCACTAACTGATGAAGGTACAAGATAATGAAAATTAATGTGAGAAGTGGATGTTGAAGTTCATTAACACTCACAATGAATGATGGTCACTAACAAGAATTAAGGGGCGAAGCTGCTAAGGGGAGGTAATGACAGTACGACGATGGCTGAGTGGGTGATGCCTGGTGATGGTGTGAATGGGTCATGACCAGTAATGCTGGTCAATGAAGCAAGGCCCAGGCCAGTGCCAGTCTCCTCGGAGGAGTGACGAGTGACAGTAATGGCCGTGGGAAGGCTGAAGGCCAACACCAGAGCCAGAGGCCTTCTGAGCACCGGATCAGGGCAAGCCTGACGCGCACAGGCCCTGGGGGCCGCCCGCCCTCCTGCTCACTCACAAGGAGACCATCACCTTCCTTGCCCACTCACGTCTCTCAACTTGTCCATGCATTTGAGCATCTCCTGGCTATCCCGGGTCTTCTGGAGAAGAGCCTCCTGATGAGGATACTGGGTTTTCTGTGGAGGAAGGAAAGGTCTGGCCCCCAAGTGCCACTTGCTGGGCAGCAGTGCATGGTAGACACTGGTGGGGGTACGGGGTCCTAGAGGAAGAGGATGGGAAGAAACAGGGCTGAGGGCAGGACCTGGGTGCCCACCACAGCAGCTGCTACTCACCTTCACCAGATACCTCAGAAAGTTTTTCTTCTTCTTATGGATCTGTTCAGACAAAGACCCCAGGACCATTTTGCGCATCTCGTTAAGGTCATCCAACTCATCCTGAGGACCAGCAAGAGGGTGTCAGCCACCAGCCCTGCCTCCTACATGGTCCAGTGGGACAGGGACAGGGGCTCACCTACCTGCTGGTTGTCCTTTATCTGCTGCAGCTGGCGTAAAAGGTTGGCAATCTGGACCGACTTGACAGGATACTCATGGTCCATATAAGTGCTCAGAAATCTCACTTCCTCTTGGGTCTTCTCGATCTTGGCATTCAGCTGCTCCACCTGCTGCTGCAGGTCTGAAGGTCAGTGGGGGGACAGGAGGGAGGAGCCTCCATCAAGGACCCCTCCCAAGAGATCTGGGAGGCAAAGCTTTCCTTGGTCAATGGACTGAGGTCTGCGCTGAAGCTAACTCACACAGTGCTGGGAGGTGGTGAAAAGTTAAGCCCCTAGAGAATCGTTTACTCCCAGAGAAGAAGAGGCAACAATGGATAAGAAAGAGAAACTAAACTGGTGTAAGATCCATAGACTAGTTCCAGGTCTGCCACCTGCTTACTACGCGACCCTTGACAAGACCCGACCTCTCTGGATCGCAGTCTCCTCATGCACACACGCCCAAGGCAGCGAGCCCAGGGAGATGGGGTGACATTGGCTCCCCAGAACTGACTACGGCAGGATGAAGACAAAGTCCACCCTGTAGTCCTCCATGAGGGGATCCCCGGTGTGCGAGGCTGCCTGACACACCATCCCTCTCCTCAGAAGACTTCTCTGCTCGGAGGAAGGAAACCACAGGCTCAGTGGGAGACGTGGGATGTGGCCCAGCCACTGACTCCCAGAGAGACCTCGGCAGGAAAGAGACACAGGCTAGGACTGGATTCTGCTCCGAGCTGTATAACCTGGGGCAGGCTCCTTCATGTCCCATAGCTTCAGTTACTTCATCTGTAAAACGGGAGAGTAGTCCCTACCTGACGAGTGGTTGTAAGGACCGAGACTGTGCCCATAAAAACGACGTGCGGGACCTGGAAGAGCTAAGTGCTCAGTAAATAAGCTATTAGCTCTGCGTCTTAGTGATTCTATCTGCCTAATAGAGCACTGACAGGCCTGCTGGTTTCTGGAAGGTCAGCACAGGGTGAATGCCCCATAGCTGACCTCCTGCTGAGGGGGCAAAGGATCAGGGAGTCGGCTCCATGGATTCTTACAGCTCAGTTTGGATTCCTCCTTCTCCTCCCACTCCTGAAGTTCACAATTCAACTGCTGCAGCCTCTCCTTGCTCGAGTGCTCCAAGATGTCGATGATGGTCTGTGGGAGCAGTAGGGTCAGCTCACCCCCAGCTCTGCGGGTACTGCTGGCCCTCAGGGGACTCGGCACTTCCTCAGAGGAGTCCCCAAACCCAAGTCCAAACCCAAACCCATTCCCAGGCCCAGGCCCAGCAACCTGACCAGATGCTGGAAAACCTACTGCCCTACCCTCTCCAAACTTTCCCCTTTCCTACTACCCACCTCTGCCAAGGCCCTACCATACACCCAGGCCCAGGGGCCTAAACCCAGGCATCCATGCCTACTCCCCTCTCTCATCTGAAACATTACCTAGTGGTATGGATACCCACTAAAAAGCCTTTTTAGCCAAGTCCTCTTCCCATCCCACTGCCACCATCTTCACGTTCCATCATCTCCTACCTGAAATATTATAACAGCTACTCCTAAGTAGTCCTGCTTTGATCTGCTCTCCAAACAGCAGTCAGAATGATCTTTCAAAGACAGCTCACCTCATTCCTCTATTTAAAACCCTCCAGTGGCTTCCCTCTGCCCTGTAAATAAGTTCCAAACTCCTCACCTGGGCTGACAAGGCCCTCTTCAGTCTGGCCTGGGCCAAACTCCTCTCTTTCTGACCCCTTCCTCATACCTTTTTGTCCAGTCACACTAAGTAACATGTGGCTCCTTGAGCCAGCTACGCTCCTCTCACCCCAGGCCTTGTGTACCCACTACCTCTACCTGGAACCCTCGCCTGCTCTCTAGCATTAACATCTACTTCTGCAGGTTTCAGCCCAAGCATCATGTTCTCTGAGAAGGCCCTCTTGCTCCTCCCATGTCTGGGTTAGAGGGCCTCTCTAAGCTCTCCATGTCCCCCATCCCCACCACAGTACACACAAGAGGCTTTCTAACTGCCTATGACTCCATTTGAATGAGCTTGATGTGGGTGAGTGTCTACTGATCACTGTTTCCCAGGGACCAACAGGAAGCAAAAAAGTTATCAGTATCATAAAATTTTGAGAATATTCTAAGTTTCCCTGGGCCAAATAACTCGGTATGCCCTTGGCTTCTGTTATAGACTGAATTATGTACCCCCCAAAGTTCGTATGTTGGAGCCCTAGCCCCCAACGTAACTGTATTGGGAGACAGGGGTTTTAGGGAGGTAATTATGGTTGTGAGGCCAAAGCAGAGGGGCCCTAACCTGATAGAACTAGTGACCTTAGGTGAAGGGAACGAGATGTCAGAGACCTCTCTCTCCACGTGAGCACAGAGGAAAGGCCACATGAGGACCCAGCAAGAAGGCAGCTGTCTGCCCCTTAAGGAGAGACGACTCATCAGTCCTCAACCCTGCTGGCACTTTGATCTTGGCCTTCCAACCTCCAGAACTACAAGAAAATTAATTTCTGTTGTTTAAGTCACCAGGTAGGTGGTATATTTTGCTATGGCAGCCTGAGCAGACTAATTAAGTCCCTAAGGCTTAATTTTCTCTTCACCTCACAGGCTCCAGATGAGCTCAGTCCCTCTTCGCCCTAGGAAGACTGCAGTCAGGGGGAATTATTTCTCCATTAAACCATTTTTCTGACTCTTCTCCACGCTGCACTCCTGGGTCCCCTGTGAACTTTCCTCCCTCTCACCATAGTTTCACCAAGTGTCTCCTAGAAGAGGCAAAGAATGCTCCCTGGGTTCTTTGCAAAGTCACTTCACCCACAGACGCTAAGTACCACCACTGAAGGAGGCTGGTACTCACAGCCTGGTGGAAGGAACACCAATCCTGGTGCCAGACTGCTGGGGTTCAAACCCCAGCTTTGACTTGCTACCTGGGTGACCTTGAGGGTCAATTTAAGCAAGCTGTCCAGCCTCTTTATGTTTCCATTTCTTCATATGCAAAACAAAGATAACAATAATGTCCACCCCACAGGGTTGTTGTAAGGATTATATGAAAATATACAAAGCACTTAGTATTATGCCATGTAAGTATTTGCTGATGGTGGTACCAGTAGCAGCTACTTTATCCTGCACACTTACTGTGTACCAAGTACAATCTCCCTTTGAGGTGTATGCTAGTGTGCCCTATTTTACAGAGCTCCAGAGGTTAACTCAGTCTCCAAGCTCATATGCGCGGGCGTTTAGATGAGCCTCCCATCTAGGACTGATTCCAGATAGCGGGGGCTAAGCGTGAGAGATGTGCCTTCCAGAAGGAGGAAGCAACTTGTGCAACCTCTCTTGGCTGTGAGAGGCAAGGAGAGGGCAGGAGAGGGCGCCCAAGCGCTCAGAAGGGCCGTGCCGTGGGCAGGACCAAGGCGCAGGGGCTAGGGGGCTGCGGGGCCTCGGTGGGGCCTCACCCCGAGGACGTCCTGCTGCTGCAGCATAGCGCGCACTTGCAGCGCCGAGCTGGCCTCTGCGTCCTGGATGGTCTTGATCAGTTTCTGGTTGAGCCTAATGAGGACGTCCTGGTGGTTGCAGAGCCCCTGGAGTGAGGCTTGCCGGTTCCTGAGCAACGTCTGCGGGCAGAGGGAAGGGGATAGGCAGTGAAGCCGTGGGTGGAGTAGCCTAGAGAGCCCAGGGAGCCTAGGGACCACTCCCCTCCCGCCGCACACTCGCCCCCTTGTGGCCTCCACTGGTAAATGCGATCCCATTGTCTGTGGGCCAGAGCACCTCGAACTGACATCCATTCTGAAACGCCCATTTTCCCATAATTTTACATCTCTGAGATGGGGATGCAACTTATGAATGATGGCATGTCACAATCTAATTGACAAATATTTTATTAGTGGATAATAAAATAAAGGTGTGTCTTACTATCAGTGGTTTCTTAGAATCAATGAAAAATAACAGTAATAGAAAACACCCCAGGTAGTTAAGGTGACAGGTATGACAGGCTATGTCTGGAGGAGAAACAAAGAGAGGTAGAGTGAATGATAACTGCTACCATTTTTCAGCAGTCAGCTGAGCTGCATACTGTCTTTCATACAATGCCCTGTAGAAATAATGAGGGTCTGAGGGGTTGACTTGCCTAAGGTGCCCCCCAACGGGTACACAAACTCTACAATTAGAATAACAATAACAGTTGTTGAGGACCTACTATGCATCAGGCATTGTGCCTCATTCAGCACAAGGTGCACTGTATCAGTTCACCCCCAACAGCCCTCTGTTCATTAACTCTATTTTACTGATTGGTGGAATCTCAGACAGGTTAAATGACTTGCCCGAAGTCACACAGCCAGAAGTAGTGGCACTGGGACTGGGAAAATAGACTTCTGATTACCAGTGTCTGTCTTTCAACTACACTAAGACAGGGAACTGAGTGGGCCTAAAGCTACAAGATGTGGCTGAGCTGCACAGTGATTAAGACTTGGATGTTAGATCTAGAAAGGCATTAAGTCCCAGCTCTGCCACTTCCCACCAAAGGGAATGGGCAAGTCAGTTAGCCTCTCAGAATCTTACTTGTACTTATTCTAAAGTTTAGGAAACAGATACTGGCTTCAGAGGACTTCTGTAAAAAATAAGCACGATAATATTCCCAATCACGCCACTTAGTGGCAGTGCCTTGCACACTCAGTGTGCACTCAGGGAATAGCAGCTTGATACTGCCGGCGGCTCTGACCCTCCACCTCTGCCATCCCTATGCTCCTCTTTTCTCCTTTTGCTCTTCCTCCTTTCTCTGTCCTTTGCTAAAAACTATCCTTTCCTAGCCCTCAGCTTCCATATCCCTCTCAACAATAATAATAGTACAAACATGTGAAGTGCTTATTACGTGCCCAAAACTGTGCTAAGCATTTCACATGCACTATCTCACTTGGTACTATCATTAGCCCCATATTATAGAAGTGCCCTGAGCCAGCATCACTGGGGCTGGTACCCGGAATCTGTATAATCAATACACACCCCACTCCCAGATGATTCTGATAAACTGCAGAATTAGTGATCTCTGTTCTAGAAATGGATCTTCCCTGATCACCAGATCTAGTGTAAAAACCCTGCTTTGTTTCCTTCCTGACCCTTGCCCCTATTTGTAATTACATGGTTACAGTTTGTAATTATGTGTCCTTCTTTCCCAATCTATTCTTCTCCTAGGACTTACCACCACTGAACATAACAGATATTTTTCTTGTTATCATGTTTCTCATCTGTTTCCCCCACTAGAATGTCTGAGCCAGGAGGGCAGGGACAGGGGATGCATTGTCATAGCTTTATCTCCAGCACACATGACAGTGCCTGGAGCTCCGTAAATATGGGCTAAATAAACTGATGAGTAAAGTATTCTTTGGGTTTCTTTAATTCATTTATTATGTATCTCCCCATTGAAGTGCTCCATAATAGCACAAATTCTGAGTGCCATGTTCATAGCTGCATCTTTAACACCCTGCTTGGTCCCTGGTACATAGTAAGCATTCTCTCAGGAGTTGTAGTTGAATAAATAACTGTCCTAAAGCTGAGGAGCACAGTCAAGATCCTAGTTCATCTCCAAGAACAAACCAGCTGGGTAGTTTCAGCTCCCTTCTTCTCTTTCCCCCGTGTCTCCACAGTCCAAACTCACACAGCAGCAATAGCCCAAGGACTCCTGTGAAAACCTAGGTCTGCTCTATTCAGAATCCTCCCAGGGTCTTCCTGTTTTAGTCAGTATAAAACGCTAAGCCTAATCATGGACTGTAGGGCCATGTACAAATTTTCCCTGTTACCCCCCACACCCACCATCTTTCCTCATCATCATGTGCTGTAGCCACAGTGACCTCAGGGCCTTTACACTTGCCACTCCTCTACCTTTCAAATTGTTGCAAATCTCAAGAATTGAAAAAAATTCACATATAAGTAGACACAAGCAGTTCAAACTCATGTTGTTAAAGGGTCTATTATACTTTGAAACATTGTTTAGATCATTATAGAAGCCATAACAACGGATGATGAGAAAATTAATCATCTGTAGTATGCATCAGTTGACATAAAAAATTTAATAATAAGCCTCTAATCTCTGCTTCAAGATGCACTGTATCCCATGAAAGGTTAACTTACTAGAAATGTTAAAATGAACAAGCCGCTGGAATGTGTTCCTAATGCAATGAAATAAAAAGAGATTTTGATTATTTTCCTGAATCTTAAATACAACAGGAAACACTTTGCTTAACTAGCTTTGACCCCTGGTACTGCCATTTTCTAGCTGTGTGACCTGGTGCAAGTCATTTACCTCCCTGCACCTCAGTTTCCCCATCTGTGAAATGGGATGGTGATAAGCATGCCAGTAGGGTTACAGTGAGGAGAAAATGTGCTGAGTCTGGTACTCACAAAGTGCTCAGTGCATGTTTGCTGGCCATCCCGCTGCCCACTGCCTGGCCTGGTGCCTGTGGGAGAAAGCTCCTCGTACCTTCAATAGGCAGATTTGGGCCTGTGTGTTGCCGGGGTCCAACTTCCTTCTGTGCGGTTCTCGTGGATTCCTCGGCTGGCTTGTCATCAACATGGTGGGCTTGGAATGTAACCCTAGGGCATGGGAAAGGGTAGAGGGAGCGAGGGTACAGGTGGGCCAGGGATCAGGTCCCAGGGAATGCACCATCCATGAGAGATGGCCCAGGCCCCAGCCCCACTCACTCCCAGCCTTGTAGCAGGTAAGGCAGAGGATGAAACTTACATTCATTAATAAGCTCCTGAACCCAGCTCTGGGCCCATATAATGGATGGAGAAGCCCAGGGGACTTCCACACACCACAGGAATTATATGTATGGACAGAGGGGAGTGGGGCAACAAGAGATTCTCCATTGCACACGGCAAGATTAGATGGAGTAGAGGTTAAGGACAACACTCATGAGACAGAAAACCTGGGTTTGAATCCAAGTTCTGCCTTGTATTAGCTGTGTGACCTTGGGCAAGTCACATGACCTCCATGTCCTTCAGTTTCCCAATCTGTAAAATATGAATCACCATCATACTCACCTCATAAGGTTGTCGTGAAGACTAAATAAGATACTCAAAAAGGTTTGGAATAGTGCTTAACACACATTGTGTGCTGAATATGTTGTTACTAGTTGTTACTGTCATTACTAGTGACCTGAGAATTGGGATTAGGACCAAAGGTACAGTAGGCATGCACAACTCCCACCTGGCTGTCTCTGAAATACCTATAAAAGCTGTGGCCCTGCCAGATAAGTCATATACGAAAATAATTCAGATCAGAATAAGGCATTTGGAAGGTATGTCCTTAGAATCCCTGCTTTTTTCAGCTTGTGCTGTGCCACCATGAGACAAATCACCCAAATCATCTCACATGCTATAGCTGCAGCCTCAGCGCCATCAAAATTCCTGCTCCAGGTGCCACCCAGTTCATTTCAGAAATATATTATTTCTTCAATTGATCAACAACTTAACCCCGAAAATTTCTAGTATTAAGTATTGAAATGATGTAAATTAATTTTATGTTAAAGTTATAAATTATCTGCATATATCTGTATTTCATTGTATTAAGAGATGGAATGACTAATAAGTTAACTTTGTGGTTATAATTTAAAATGTGTAAATAAGATTTTGACTTAGATTTATGTTGAAAGGTTTAAAACACTATAAGTTATATAAATTACCAAAACTTCTAAGAGCACATAAGAATACCTGTATTTAGAAGTTTATTTATTAGATGTACAAGAATTATTTAAATACCCAATGGTGTTGTTAATCAGACAAGTGAACTACTTGAAAATGAAAACGAGTATATTAAATTTTAAAATGTGGCTTAAAAGGTTTAGGGGAATTTAATTAACCAAGTTCCAAAAATCCCCCATACAGATGTTTATAAAAATTTTAAGATTTCTAAGTTGAACACTTAGGAAGATGTGTAACTTTAGTAATGAGTATTTCTTTTCATTAGTGGTAGTAGTCCTGATTTGTCTTTTTTTTATTAAACTTTCTATTTTGAGATAAGTTCAGGTTACATGCAATTTAAAGAAATAATACAGAGAAATCCTTTGTACAGTTAACCCAGTGGAGGCATCTTGCAAAACTAAGTATATATCACAACCAGGATATTGATGTTAAAAGGGGCAAGATAAATGACATTTCCATAACCACAAGGATGGATCATGTTGCCTTTTATAGCCACACCTACTTCCCTCCCCTTACCATTGTAACCACTGTCAATCACTAACCTGTACTCCGTTTCTTTAACTTTGTCATTCCCAGAATTTCATATAAATGGAATCATACAGTATGTTAACTTCCAGGATTGGCTTTTTTTTTTACTCAGCAAAATTCTCTGAAGATTCATCCAAGTTTTTGAGTGTATCGATAGTTCTTTCCTTTTTACTAGTGAATAATATTCCATGGGGTGAACGTTTCAGTTTGTTTAACCATTCACCCATTAAGGAACATCTGGATTGCTTCCAGTTTGGGTTATTATCAATAGGCTGCTATGAAACATTATGGACTGGCTTTTGTGTAATCCTAAATTTTTGTTTCTCTGGAATAAATGCCCCAGAGTGCAATTGTTGGATCATTATGGAACTCGCCTGTTTAGTTTCATTAGAAACTGCCATATTCTTTTCCATTCCCACAAGCAATGTCTGCATGACCCAGTTTCTCCTCTTTGCCAGCATTTGGTGTTATAACTAGTTTTCCATTTTAGCCATTCTGATAGGTGTGTAGTGCCAATCTCATTGTGGTTTAATTTGCATATCCCTAATGGATAATGATGTTGAACATCTTTTCATGTGCTCATTTGCCATCTGTATATCCTCTTCAGTGAAATGTCTCATGTCTTTTGCTGATTTTTTAACTGAATTGTTTTTCTGTTGAGTTTTGAGAGTTCTTCATACATTCTACACAGCAGTCTTCTGTCAGATATGTAGTTTGCAAATATTTTCTCCAAGTCTGTAGTCTGTCCTTCCATTCTCTTAATAGTCTTTCACAGAACAAGAGTCTTTAATTTTGATGAAGTCCAAGTTACCCATTTATTTCATTTTTCTTGTATGGGTCAAACTGTGTAAATTCTGAGACTTTTGGCCATTGTTCCCAAAGAGTTTTCTCTCCTATGTTTTTCTAAAAGTTGTACAGTTTTACATTTAATTTTGACTTCACTTTACATTTACATTTTGAGTTAATTTTTTTATCATTTGTAAGACTTAAATTGAGGTTCAGTTTTTTGTCTCCAGTGTCCAGGTGTTCCAGCACCATTTGTAGAAAAGGTTTTCTTTCCTCCACTGAATTTTTTTGCACCTTTGTCAAAAATAAGTTGGCATATTTGTGTGGCTCTATTTCTGTTCCACTGATATATGTGTCTCTGCCAATACTACACTGTCTTGATTACTACAGCTATACAGGAGGCCTTAATATCAGGTAAAGTGATTCTGCTCATGTTATTTTTCTTTTCTGAAATTGTCTTATCTATTTTACAGTCTTGCTTTTCTATATAAATTTTAGAAGAAACCTGTCTTCAAAAAAGTTTCTGGGATTTTCATAGGAATTACATTAAATATATAGATCAACTTGGGAAGAACTGGCATTTTACCATGTTGAGTCTTCCATTCCATGAACACAGCATGTCTCCCCGTGTATTTAGGTGTCTGATTCTTTCATCAGCACTATGTAATATTTCAGCATATAGATCCTGTACTTGATTTATTATGTTTATATCTAAATATTTCATTTTCTTTGGAGTGATTATAAATATATTGTGTTTTTAATTTTGGTTTCCATGTAATCATTGTCAATACATAAAAATGTGATTGATTTTTGTGTGCTTATATCCGATGACCTTGATAAGCTAACTTATTCATTCTAGGGTCCTTTTTTTCCCTCCACAGAACTTCCTTTTTTATTAGCGTGACCATCTACATCAACTTGAATAATTCAATCCTGTAAATCCTCCTGTGCATACTGAAGAGGACCATGAACTCTATGCAGCTAGAAACCCAATCTCTTGGTCTTCTTCACAAGGCTCAGCAAATGACTGCTGCTAAATGAGTATCTGAATGAATGAATGAATGAATGAATGAGACTACTGCAACAGAGCCTGACACAAAATAAGTCCTTGGCAAATGGTAGTTTTTCATTACTATTTACACAGATTGCTTTACTCGTGTAAGGCAGGAATCTTTGGGCCCATTTCCACAGGGAAGGAAACAGGCTGGTCAGATAACCTGGACAAAATTACTGGCAAGAAGGAAAACTGGGACCCCAACACAAGTCCGTATTTCTCCAGTGCCCATGCTCTCTCCACTTACATGTGGTTAAGATCATGGGTCCTGGAGCCAAAATGCCAAGTGTCACAGCCTGGCTCTGCCCCCTCCTACCTGGGGAGTTGTACTTCCCTGTGCCTCATCTGTAAGAGGAGGTGATAATAACAGCACTCACCTCACAGGGCTGTTGGGATGATTAAATGAAGTCCAGTTTACACTAATATAACTAACTGGTGTTACCAAGGACCAAGAGCAGCCACTCTATCCCATCCCCAACTCCCCCACCAGCCCTCAAGTGCCTCTGCCCACCTGGCTGGATGCTAGGCAAAGTCTTCATTTTGCTTTTCTTGAGGTGGCTGGTTTGTAGGACTGGAAGCAGAGTAGATGAGTCGGTTTTCGCCTTGGGCCGTTGCCATGTAACATAATCCTACCAGACATAACACAATCAATCACACTAGCCTGATGGGCTCAAATCCCAACTTCACCCCTTACTGATACATGTGACCTTGAGCAAGTGACTTTACCTCTCTGAGCCTCTCTCATCAGGAAACTGGATCTAATTATAATACCCACCTCCAAAAGTTAGTGTGAGAATTTCGAGATGATATCTGTAAAGCATGTGGTAACTGCTCCATAAATGTTAGCTATCATTTCTTATCAGCCAGCCAGAATTTACTAAGCACATCCAGGCTGTGAGGTGCTAAGAACTGTGGGAAACAGAAGGCATGGAAAAGCCCCAATAGGAAACCAGAGTAGCAATCAGAGATAAATAAGAGAGTAGCATAATATAACCTTACATTCTGATAAAGAGGTGAGAAAACTGGGTTTCAGAGGCTAGCCCCGGATACAACAAATGTGGGACACGGCTGGGCCTGTAATTCAGGTCTCTGGACTCTATGAGCCCAGACAGTCACGGCCGTGGGGGTTAACTGCAGGTGAACTGCACACTTAGGGTCGGAGAGCCCCCATCTCCTCCCTATCCCTCCCAGACTCACCAGAATCTGGAATTTGTGGACTGTGGAGCGAATCCCAGAGTGGCTAGGTATGGAAAGAATTGGAGAGCGAAAGAACTTCCATCATTTCCAACCCACCGGTGCTGCAAGCAGCAAACGTGAAACAGGCGTGGGGCCTCGAACCCCTACCTGCAGTTTACTAGCGACATCAACGAAGCGGTAGAAAGAAGGGCACGGGGGGAGGCGGGGCTACGAGAATGTGGGCTGGGGAGGGGAGGGGCCTAAAGGCCGCTGGAAGACACCCTGCCGAGGACCAGCAAGGGCACGGGGGCGATGGGGTGGGAGATGGCCACGCATGCGCACTCCACCACCCTCGATGCCTGTTTTACCTACTTCGGAAAGACCTGCGCCATTGGGGAAAATGGGTAAAGAGTAGTTTACTCGGTGGGGCCCTGATCTCTTCGGATGTCTATTTATTCGGCGTCTCCAACTTCCTGGTCTCAGCGTGGATCGCGCGGTAACCCAGGCCCCTCAAACTTCCCAGGAAGACCAGGAGCTTTCCCTCCTGTCTTCGTCTCCAAGGAAACGCACGCAGACTACGGAGCGCCCGCAGGGACTAATCTCGCAAGGCAAAATGTAGCTCTGTACAGTCTTCTCAACTTAGTTACAAATACCCCTGTGGGCCTCGTCCACCAACCTAAAGAATATGCCCTATTTCTCCTCGCATCAGACTTCCATCACTTTCTTCTCCATCCTTACTCTTAACTACTGACTTTGCTTCCTATTTCACTAAGAAAATCGAAGGGCTCAATAAACTCACAAGTTCACATCACCTTCTTTACCCACCTACTTGCCTCTCTGCTATGACTGTGTATAAACTGCCTACTAAGAGCTATTCTTACAATTGTGAACAGAATCCTATCCTCTCTCATTTTCTCTAAGATATAGTCCCAGTCATTCTCCCCATTTTCTCCATCACCCTCTCTGTATTATTGCCATTGGTATACCAACGTATTTTAATTTCTTCAATTAAAAATAGGTGACTACTTGATCCTATAGCATCTTACTATGCTGATGGACAGTAACTGTAATGGGGTATGTGGGGGGAACTTGATAATGGGGGGAGTCTAGTAACCATAATGTTGTTCACGTAATTATACATTAATGATATCAAAATAAATAGGTGACTACTTCTCATCCAGCTACACTCCCATTTCTGCTTCACTGTACACCAAAACTCCTAGAGAGGTCTGCCTGCTCTTTTCCATCCCTTTACACCTCTTCAGTCAGGCTTTCACTCTCTACCTCCCCACTGAAACTGCCATTTGTCAACGCCACCAGTGACCTCCACTTTGCTAAACCCCATGATCACTTCTCAGTCCTCATCTTGCTTGGCCTATTTGCATTATTTGACACAGCGAATCACTCCCTTCTTGAAACACTTTCTAAACTTGGTGTCCAGGAAACCACTCTCTGAGTTGCTTCCTATCTCCTTCTTTGCTGGTTCCTCCTCTTCTTCATTATTGAAGGGCTCAAACCAGGCCCTCTCTTTGTTTCTGTCTGTTCTCCACTTCATTTGTTCCCCCTTTCAGTCTTGTGACTTCAGATGCCATCTGTATGGGATGCCGCTCAGACTGCCATCTCCACCACCTCTCTCCTGAGTTCCAGTCACATACATATATCCAAATGCCTACTCAACATCTCTACTTGGATATTTATAGGCAACTCTAACATTCAATCCTTCCCCAAAAATATTTTTCCCACAACTCTTTCTGGAGTCATCCTTGAATCATCTTTTGACTCAACTCTCATCCCACATCCCATCTGTCAGCAGTACCTTCAAAGTATACCCAGAATCAGACTGTTTACTACCACCACCCACACAGATACATACCCCACTTTCTTCTCATACCTGGACAACAGTACCAGTTCTCACCTTTGCCCTATTCCAGTCCTCACCTTTGCCCTATTCCAGTCCTCTCCCCACACCCCATATTTTCCAGATAGAGCACAGATTTAGAAGCACATTCCAGTTTTAAAAATAATTTGGAGAAGGAGATAGGTTGAAATCATTTAAACTAAAATAGAAGAACGTAACTACGGAACACTAGACCAGAGTTCCCAACCTTCTCCCCTCTTAAAAATAATAGGAAATGTTTTAAACTATACCACACACTATAGTAATCAGAAAAGACTGCTATAGTAAAAGCAATCAGCCTGGGAACTCTGGCCAACCAGGACCCTCTTGGCTGCCCCTAGAGCTGAGGGAATCACTGTACCTGGCCCCCCTTTGCAGAGCCCACTGTACCACAGCACTCCAGCTGGGAAGCTCACCAGAAACCCACTAACATGTAGGAGGTAGCAATATGTGGCAGACTTGGGGTAGGTACCATTCCTTACCTTCATCCCAACTAATAGACTCTGACCTTGCTTTAGACGAGGCAGGTCCCAGCCCCAACCCCTGCCCCAGTCCCAGATCCAGCTCCTCTAGCCATAACTGGTCTGAGTTAGGCTTAGTGGGTTCTTTCCCCTTGCCAGGTACAAGTTTAGTCATAGGCATGTGATCAAAAAGTGTGGCCAAGGAGACAGAGAAGCCTACTCAGAGATTTTTAGAAAATATTTTCATCATGCTGAAAAAAAAAAAGACATTGCAGAAAAACATTCCCTAGTCTGCTACTGGATATTGCCATAGGATAATTTTGGCATCCTCAAAATTGTGGAACTGTGAGGAGACTTCACTAAAGAGGATGTACTGGGGAGAATGGAAGAGCAGAAAGTGGAATAAAACCATTTCTTAATAGCATTGTTGAGCCATTAAATTAATCCTGTAACCAATCTAGAAACTACTCCAGATAATATTTAACAAATCACCTTACTGAGTGTGCCATAGTGAGTTGAGTTTTTGGGTACTTTCAGGCCAAAAATATCCTAATGAAATCTACGTATGGAAGAATTAAGATAGGAGGAAACTGGGTCTCTACCAACCTTACAGGACAGAGAGACCTACCTGCTGTGACTGCCTGCCAAATTCTGGGCTGCTTCGTAAGAGAGAAATATACTTTCAACTTGTTTGAGACCCTGTTTTGAGGGTTCCTTTCTCACAGCAGCTTAGCCTGTTCTTTGACTAATATGAAAGGGACTTGGCCACTGTCACACAGCCCTCCTAGTTAGAGATACTGACCCATCATGGACACTCACTGATAGCTGCCTGCTCCTCACAAGCTACGGTAAGAGGAATGGAAAAGACGACTTAAAATACATAGGTTCTGTTTGGGTTTGTAAATATCCTCCCCATGGAAAGATTTGAGCAGGCAAGCAGAAAGAATAAATGAGTGGAATGTGTTAACCTAAAACAATGTATCTGGTAATGATCCAAGCATGATCATGGGAGTGTGGCAGAGAAGGGATGGAGAAGAGCTTGTCAGAGGTTATAAAGTGAGGGAACTGGAAGAGGCCCAAATGAGTTACAGATGTCAGCTCCCCTGAGGGAAAGATCTGAGGTCACTGGCCCCTTCTGACGAGGCTGAGATTTGAAGCAGTCGAATTCAAACTAGGGTCTTCCTGACTCCACAATCCACCTTTTCTTTCACTGAAAGTCAAAAAGGTCACTGAAACACCTTGAAATGCACATAGATATGTGTAAAGAAAACACAGCTAACAAAAGGTGATGTTAAATGCATCCTATCAACCACCCAAATGTTATCCATGTCTCCAACCCACCGGTTGAGACACCTGAGGAAGGAATAGGGATTCTGTCCTGCGCTAACTTTAGCCAAGGAATCTGTATTAACAAGGTATCCTGGAGAGTATTATGTTTGAAGAAAATAACAGCCACCTACACGTAGGGCCTTCTATTGGCTCTGCCACTTGGCCAAGTGACATAACCCCCATCTCCAAACCCCTGCTTCCTGTAAAATGGGTATAATTACAGCATTGTCTTGAAAGATCCCATGTGATAAAGCTTGCAGTGTGTTAGAACAGTACTGAACATTAAGCGCCCATTACCCCTGTCATGATAAATGGAGGTCTTTTTCAAAGATAATGTAATATGACTAACTTGGAATGTATCAAAAAAAATTTTAGAGAGGTGCAGAAAAAATGATAGAAAATATTAAGAAGTTAAAGGTTAAGTCTTTGCTGTAAAATTTTCTATTTTCTGTATGTTTGAAAATGTTCATAATCCACTGCTGGAAAAATAATGCATTGTGGTATGCTTTGGGAAGAGACAGAGCTGTTTTGTTTTGTTTCATTTTAGTAGAAAAGGTATAAAAAGAAAAAACGGACGAGATTTTCCTCAACTATATCCTGCCTTTGGGCTGTGGGCCGTTAGTAATGTTGCTTGAATGAAATCATCGAGATCCGCTTACGAAATACCAAATCCTCGAGAGCGAGGCCCAAGGCTGCCAAATCCTCGCAAAGGCCAGGGACGCGCTCCAAGCTCCCCATCCCGCTTCGGAGCGAGGGAGGTGGGGTTGCAGCGAGCACTCGCCCAAACGCGACTCGGCCGTTACCCGACGGCTCCAGGCCTGCGCTGGCCGCAGAGATCCTCCGCGTGTAAATACCTTTGGCGGGCGGGGGAGAAAAGCGTCGAATTTCAAAAAAAAAAAAAAAAACCCAAACCCCCACAGCCCCGGACGGGCGGGCGCGCGCGATGGGCGCCCTTTGGCTGCGGGAGCGAGTGGAGGATGCTGGGAAGGAGGTAAAATGGCCACCGGCGGCGGCGTGGAGGAGGAGAGGAAGCGGGGGCGGCCGCAGCTCCTGCTCCCTACGCGCCCTGCGGCCCGGGGCGAGGAGGCCGAGGGCGGCCGCGAGAAGATGGGCTGGGCCCAAGTGGTGAAGAACTTGGCCGAGAAGAAAGGCGAGTTCCGCGAGTCGCGGCCGCCGCGTCGGGAAGAGGAAAGCGGCAGCAGCGCGGGCAGCGGACTCGGCGCCCCAGCGGGCCTGGCGGCTCCGGGCCTCGGCGACTTCCCCCCGGCAGGCCGCGGGGACCCGAAGGGCCGCCGGAGAGACCCAGCAGGCGAGGCGGCAGACCCCCGCAAGAAGAAGGGAACAGCCGAGGCGGGCAGGAGGAAGAAGGCCGAGGCAGTGGCGGCCATGGCGGCCCCGGCCAGGCCTGGCACGGCGGAGGACGCGGCCGAGCAGCCCCCGCAGGACGAAAAAGCGACGGCGGCCACGGCGGGCCCCGCGTTGGGCCCGGGCAAGGGCCGCTTCCTCGTGCGCATCTGCTTCCAGGGAGACGAGGGCGCCTGCCCGACCCGGGACTTCGTTGTGGGCGCCCTCATCCTGCGCTCCATCGGCATGGACCCGAGCGACATCTACGCGGTTATCCAGATCCCCGGCAGCCGCGAGTTCGACGTGAGCTTCCGCTCGGCGGAGAAGCTAGCCCTGTTCCTACGCGTCTACGAAGAGAAGCGCGAGCAGGAGGACTGCTGGGAGAACTTTGTGGTACTGGGGCGGAGCAAGTCCAGCTTGAAGACGCTCTTCATCCTTTTCCGGAACGAGACGGTGGACGTGGAGGACATCGTGACCTGGCTCAAGCGCCACTGCGATGTGCTGGCCGTGCCTGTGAAAGTGACCGACAGGTTTGGGATCTGGACCGGGGAGTACAAATGCGAGATCGAGCTGCGCCAGGGGGAGGGCGGGGTCAAGCACCTGCCGGGGGCCTTCTTCCTTGGGGCCGAGAGGGGCTACAGCTGGTACAAGGGGCAGCCCAAGACGTGCTTTAAATGTGGTTCCCGGACCCACATGAGCGGCAGCTGCACGCAGGACAGGTGCTTCAGGTGCGGGGAGGAGGGGCACCTGAGCCCTTACTGCCGGAAGGGCATCGTGTGCAACCTCTGTGGCAAGCGAGGACACGCCTTTGCCCAGTGTCCCAAAGCAGTTCACAATTCCGTGGCAGCTCAGCTAACCGGTGTGGCTGGGCACTGAACAACCGCCTGCCTGCCAAGGTGAACACAGAGCCAGCTTACCCCTCTTAAGTGCCAAAACTTTTTTTTAAACCATTTTTTTATCGTTTTTGAAGGAGATCTTTTTAAACCTACAAAAGACATCTCTCTCTGCCTTCTTAAATCGAGTTTACTCCATTTCAGCCTTTTCTGAATTGGTGACTGTCACCAGTAAAGACTACCGATAACTGTAGTGTGCAGGAGTGTTGCCCCTCCCTTTTTAAAATTTTGTTTTTGTATTTGAGGATTTTTCTTTTTGGTACTTTTTTATTCTCCACGCCTTGTCTTCTTCCTGGATTTTCACCCCTTGGGCTGCCATGCTCATCTTTATGCTCCAGCACTAGTAAGGGGCCCACCATGTGGTAGGCACTCCAGTGTTTGTTGAATTGAAAACTTTGTTGACTGTGACTTCAGTCAGGGTGTCTACTTTTTGCAGCTCTTCTCCCCCAGCCCCCTTTTAATTTGCTGCTTCTAATCTATGTGGTCTGAGAATTTGTGAAACCAGTGTTGTTAGAAGTGTATGTACTCTGAATCAATAAGCTCTGAATGGTGGCCAAGGGCCTCTCTTATGGCACTAAAGTGCATGGACTTTGTGACAGCTCTTTCTGTGGCTCAGAAGCCATTTTTTACAGAATCATGGAATTGAGACTTTTCCTGCTGGAAAGGACCTAAATATTGGTTTGGACCAGTCCCCTGGTTTTCCAGCAGATGAAACTGGCCCAAGAGGTTAAATGACTGGGTCAAAATCACATAGCTGTCTGGTGCCAGAGCTAGCCTAGAATAGAGTTCCCTGACCCCAATCCCGGTGCTCATTCCACTACCTCTCACACTTCACAACATTTTCCTCAACACTTGAGGGCCCAGAATGTCTGATCTCCAGAATAGTGAGCCCAAAGGAATGCTAAGAAATCATCTGGAGGAGGAAGTAGAAAGAGATTTAGCAGGGGCTTCTGAATACCTAGGAGATAGGGAAATGACAAAGGAACATAATCCAGGGTGCAGTCATTGTTCCCTGGGGTACCATAATCTGGATTAAAGTGTGCCAGTGTCCTTGGAGGCCTTACCCTTCCCCGTTCATTGCCATCAGTGAGAAATGGGGGTGCCCCTGATTAAGGAAACCCACCAAAGGTTTACATTTGCACCTTAACCTCACTAGCTAGAAACCCCAGAGAAGCAGCCAACTTGTGCTCATGTGCAACCTCCTGACCCTCAGGAAAAAAAGGTGATTTTAACCCAGAATTATGAGCAAACTGTTAATTCTAAAATGTACTTACAAAATAGGCCTAGCAAGAGGGCATTGGGTCAATGTTACCAAGTTAAAAGTAGAAAAGAAATACACTGCTTTTCTTTTAGTTTTGTCTTTCCTTTTGTTTATGTTTTGCTATTTCCTTGTGGCTTAGAATGTAAAATTGTTGAAAGTTTGTTCTGAATAAATATTTATCTTTTGTATTGCTAATAGTGCTGCAATAGTTCATTTCAGAGTGTTAGATGCACAAGTACACAGACCCTAGTTTAATCCATACTTCCTACACACCATTTGTTTACCCTGCAAATACATCTCCAACCCAAATAGGCAAGACTTAGCACCTGCTATGTTGTGCCAGGCCCTTTGAAGTTACCTAAACCTAGTGCATCAGAATCACTGGCATAAGTGAAACTATTTTTGGTAAGCATTCCTAAACAATTCTGATAGGCATCCAGGTTGGCTCAGTACCAAAATGAGTGAGAGGGACTCTGCCCTTGGGAGATCACAAACTAGTGAAAAGACACCGATAAGATGTCAGTGTCATCATCATGACCTGTTTGTAGGTGCCACGAATTGGACTCAAAAGTATTCACAGGCTATATCTTCTAGCTCTAAGGAAGAGAGAAAGAGTCCAGGAAACTTTCATGAGAGCTGACTCACTTCAAATTAATCCTCAAGACCTCAAATACAACCCTCTGAAGGATTTTCCAGCTCTGAGATGTTAAGATGATACGAACCTAGGAATTAAAAGTTCCCAGTGTTATCAATTTGACTCAGTGATTTGAGGATGTTTCCAGAGTTAATCTGGTAGTTGAGGCCTGGTTGGCTCTTGAGAACCCTGCCTTTCAGAGCCCCTCTCCTTCCTATCTCCCAAAGCAAACAGACTCTTCCTCCTTGCTCTCTCCCTCCTGTCCTTTCCTTTCCTCTCATCTTTCTCCCTTCAGGGCCCTAGGTTTCCTGCCCTCACTAGAGGCCTGAGGCAGGGAGAAAGCCTGCGTTCATTATACTCCTCCCCACCCGCTTCCTCCCAGCAGGCACTGTGCCAGAGAGCCTCCGTGGAAGGAATCTTCCCTCTCTCCACCCCTTCCCCCCAACTCCCCCAGAGGGAGCAGAGGAAGAAACTGTTTCCCTGCCCATCCCCCAACAGGATCCGCTCCAGGGCCTCCAGCCTGGCAGTCTGGGGCCTGAGCTACAGACTGGAGTGGAACAAACCTCCCCCAGCTTCCTCCCCTGATCTAGCAGCCCCCAAATTACAATTTGTCAGTGTTAATGGGCTCCTGGGGAGTGTGGCTGCATCCCCAGACAGAGGCTGGCCCACTTGCTGACATTCTTTAAGTTTTCAACAAATACTGAGGCTCATTAGAGCCAGGCCCTATACAAGGTGCTCTGGGTACACCCAGGAACAAGGTTGTGCACCCGCAGAGAGAGAGCCACATGAGTAACAAGCAAGCAAATTTTTTTAATTCTGAAAAAAAAATACAGAGTATGGAATTGTCTGAAATACGGGTCACCTAGAAGAGATGATGATGTTTCAACTGAAACCTGCTGTATGCATAAGAGCAGGATAAAGAGGAAAAAGATATCCAAGCAACAGAAACAGCCTATGCGAAGACCTGGGGGTCAAAGCACACAGCGTGTTCAGACTGTCTAGAGAGTCACAGGAAAGTGTGGCTCAGAAAAGGCCAAGAGGAGGTGACCCACGGCTTGTCAGTGTTATATGTAAGAGACTTGTTATCTGTCCTGTCACCCTCCAATCTGGCAGCCTCCTTTCCAGTCATTCCCCTAACACATTTATGTTAAGCACCAACTCTTTCTGAGCAATGCAGTATAGAACATACTGAAGTCCCCTGGGGCTCAAATTCTAGAGACATGCAAATACATAATCACAAACTGTGATAATCCATTGAGAGAAACATGCACAGGAATAATGTGTTCAACAAGGAAAACAGATCTGGTCTTAGGAGACAGGGATAACTTCACAGAAAAAATGTTTGAACTGGATGGAAAGGACATACGAGTTGAGAGATGGGGCTGGAGTAAGGGGTGGCAAGGGTACCAACCTAGGCAAAAGGGATAACAACACAATAACTGTATAATAGTGGGAGGAATCATGACCAATTCTAGAAAGCAAATGAAGTCCAGTGTATCACTCCAGGTTTAGAAGCAAAAACCACTCTAGGTGTTGAAGAAAGTGATGAGCTCTAGGCTGGGTATTCAAAATAACTCCTAAACACCTAGAATTGACCTACCAGGGAGCTACCACCTCTCTCAGAAAGGAGTCAGGAGGCCATTACCAAAAAGGTTGAGTTGGAGGACACACTGATAAAGCTGCCACCCAAGGACAGGATGCTGGGATTAGAAGGTCACTGCCAGTGCTTAGGCCAGGAATGAAATGTTGAGCCTTTAAAGCCAGACTATACACTAGTGTCTCTACAACCAACCTTATTTATGAACAAAAACAGCCAAAACCACTTGACTTCTGCCTTACTTCCACATTTCAAACCTCATGCAAGTACATTTAATTGCTGGAACCCTAGCTGCAAGGGAATCAGGAAATGTTTCAGCTTTCCAGCATATGTTGCACAGAAAGGCACATAAATACTGGGAATTGATGCTGTCTGCCAACTGACCATATCCAGCACAGCCAGTGTGGCTACAGTACAGGGAGGGGGAGGGAGATACCCTTACAAAATAAAGCTGGAGATCTTGAGGGGGTCTGGTCAGCCATGTTTATAATTTGCATCTAAAAATGATAAGAAGCCATTGAAAGATTTTTAAGCAAGGAAGTAACATGATCAGGATTGCAGTTTAAAAGACCATTCAGGATACTCTGTAGAGAATAGGTCAGAGGGGATCTCAAGTGGAAAGAAGTCCAGTTTACCCAGAGGAGAGATGAGGGTACCTTGGACCTGGATGGTGGAGATAAGAGAAAATCAGGCAGGGTAAAGAGATACTTGAGAGTTTAAGTCAACAAGACTTAGACACGGGCTGGGGAAGGGGAAGAACCAAGGATGACTCCCAGGTTTCCAGCTTCTGCAATTGGATAGATGGTGGGCCAATTTTCCCTGTAGAAAAGGATACTGTGACAGAACCCAAGAACGGACTACCAGTTGCCAAAGGGAAAGGGACTGGGGAGGGTGGGTGGGAAGGGAGGGATAAGGGGGAAAAGGGGCATTACGATCAGCACACATAATGTAGGGTGGGCACGGGGAAGGCAGTTTAGCACAAAGAAGACAAGTAGTGACTATAGCATCTTACTACGCTGATGGACAGTGACTACGATGGGGTATGTGGTGGGGACTTGATAATGGGGGAACCTAGAAACCACAATGTTGCTCATGTAAGGGTTTATTAATGATACTAAAATAAAAAAACAAAAAGAAAGAAAAGGATATTGTGACAAAATAATAAAGAATAGCCAGAAAGGGAGAAGGGAAACAACAGTGTGGAGACATATAAACCAAGGAAGGATCATTATAATTGGCAGGGATTCACAGCTGTATTGAGTACTACAAGGAGTCAAGTAAAATTGTCTTTGAGAAATGCAAGTACAGTCAGGATTGAAGCGTGACCATTGGATTGAGTATGTGGAGGTGACTTGTGAGGGCCTTTTAGAGGAAGAGTAATGGGAGAGAGGCCATCTAAAAAATACTTTTCCTAAAATGCCAATCTAACATTCTGACACTTTTACTCACTCTGGGGTTCCCTACTGCTTTAGGAGTCAGCCTAGCATCCAACTCCTTTTACTAGAGGCTTCTGGACTCCCTTGGGACCTCATACTCAGAGTATCCATTACATCCCTTCATGTCAACTCCAGGTCTGGCCAACAAAGAACAACCAGAGGCGTTTGGGATGGTAGAGTGTGGAGTGGTAAAAGAGGAAGGTAGGGATGACCAGGGGTCAGATCATTCCAGTACAGGTGGAGTTTCCTAAGACTGTACCAGACATGGGCAAAGCCAATGAATGGATCTATGCAGGACCACTTGCTGCTTGTCAATGTGACTAAGAATATTTGGGGGACAATATGTTTCATGAAAATAAACAGATATATCATGGGGGAGAATGCAAAATTTTGTAAAGTTTTAAAATAAAACATGGACTAATATCTTTGGAAAGCTGTTCGTTTGGCAATATCAAAATTTTAAATTCACATAATGTTTAACACAGAGGTCATTTACTGGAAACGAATCTGTAGCTAAACATGGACACCTACACAAAGATGTATGTACCAGGATGCTCAATGAAGCATTACTTGGTATACCAAAGACTGGGAAACAACCTGATTGTTTATCAATAGGGAATGAGGTAGACAGGCTATGGCACATCCAAATAGTGGAACACTGTACAGCTGCTCAAAAGAACAGTTCTATATGTATTAATATGGGATAATTTCCAAGACACTTTAAAAAAAATACTTCTATGAGAGTCAGGCATTTAATTTTTAGAAAGAAAATATTACTGAAGTATAGTTGATATACAATATTATATTGGTTTCAAGTATACAACATAGTGATTCAATGGTTATCTACATTATTAAATGCACACCCCAACTACTATAGTTTTTGTCTGTTAACATAGAAAGATGTAGAATTACTGACTATATTCTCCATGCTGTACTTTTATCCTTGTGACTAATTTATTTCATGATTGAGATTTTGTTCTTTTTTATCCTTACCACCTATTTCACCCACCTCCTCAAATCCTCCTCCATGGTAACCACCAGTCACTTCTCAGTGTCTATGAGTCTATTTCTGTTTTGTTTTATCTTGTTTTATATTCCACATGTAAGTGAAATCATATGGTATTTCTAAGACACATTTTAAAGTGAGCAAAGCAAGATATGGTATGCTATTTACATTTTAATTGTCTTTTTTCAGCTTTATTGAGGTATAATTAACAAATAAAACCAATATATTTAAAGTATACAAGGTGATTTGATATATGTTAATTATAATTTAAAATGTTGGAATAAATATATACATATGCTTGCTTATCTATAGACTAACTCTGGAAGGATATTAATAAAATAGATAGTTGTAGCTTCTGAGAGCTGAATATTTGGGGTTTAGGATGGAAGGAAAACATTTTTCACAGTATATCCCTGGTTTTTGTTTGCTTTTAATTATTTCCTGTGTTAGCTCTGGCCAAAAAAATAATTAACAACAAAAACAAATGCAAAACACAACATAAGACTTCAAAGCAATTCCTGTAGACTCTGCAGAGACAGAAGTCCATTATTTCCTCTGTCTCTAAAAATAAGAAACTTTGATGGGAGTTTAAGACTCTAGAGCAGCCAACTCACTGGTCATGCTGCTTCCAAGCTTAGTCTCCTTCAATCTAGGAAAATTGTCCCCAAATGAAATTTGATCACATAATTTCCCAGCTTAAAGACCCTCAAAGACTTTGTGTCCTCCCTGGGGCTGAGGCCTTGCACCCTGGCTCCTCTGGGCCTCACCCTCTCACCCTGGCTGGGCTTCTGCTAGTCATTCTAGGAATTCACCCTTCCTGAGCCTGTGGTTAACCCATGCCTTCTCTGGCACTCAGCTCTAGTGCCACTTCTTAACTGCAGCCTTCCCTAACCTTCTAGACCAGACCCTCTTACCCTCTCCCCTTCCACAGTTATTGCAGATACAATTATGTGTTTATACCATGGTCTGATTAATATTGGCCTCTGTCTCTCAATTTCGATGTCCCAGAAGGCAGGGACCATGACTATTTTGCTCTTGGTTGTAGCTCCAGCATTTAGCACTGTGCCTGGCACATAGTAAAAACCTGAAAAATATTTATTGAAAATATTGAAATTACTTGGCTGAGATTACAGATCAGGACATGTATTTATTTGTCCTTCTTTAATGATACTCAAAGTATCCCTCAGCACACCTGTCACTGACTATATTAGAAAAGGTTCATTCATTCATCTTTAAAAAGCTAATTCACATCTTCTCTCACCTTCAATGAGGGTTTCTTCAGCCTGTGAGGTCAGGCCTTTCCTCCCCTATTTCTCTCAGGGCATATCACTGAAACTGAACCTGCATGTCCCCTGGCACCGTGAGGCACAGACGACTCCAAATGCTTGGCTCCAACACTCCTTCACCCCTGGTAAGAGTAAGCCCTATCCTGAGCCCTGACCACTGCCCCCCACCAGGGTGCAGGGTCAGGATTCTGCAGATACCAGAGGAGTTGCCCACCAGAATTCTCTGAGACCATTTTCAGGGACCCCAGAATTCCCTGCCAAAATACCCTGAAACTCATTTACAGAGCCTTCATGGGTTGCATCCTTGGGTCCATCTCAGTTGAGGACAAACTACACTGTCTGATGCAAATGGTATAGACCTGAGGCTTAGTTCTCGGAGTAACTGTTAGCAAGAAACAGCTTGGATGTGGGGGCTGAGTGTCTACTCACACGTGCCAGGTTCCTCCTTGATAGGTTGGGAGGTAACTGGATAAGGACTGGACGCAGGATCCAGAGGGTAGCTCTCCATGTGCCAACACATTCTGGCACAGAACTTCAAGAGTCCTCAAATTATGCTTCAAACCTGGTCTTTCAGGTTGTCATGAAGGCATATTCATCAAGGAGAATAGAACATGTATCATTTAACACATATGCATTAGACTGATGTATATCTTCTAATTAGAGACATACTGCATATGGACCTCCAACTGTATACTTTTGTCCTGGGCCTCACAAATGCTCCTGTTTGGGCTCTATCATTTCTTGGCTCGGGCAAGTCACATAACCTCCTCAGGCCTGTTTTCTCACCAGAAAAAAAAGGGTTTAATGTTAACTGCCTCCTCATCACAGCTGGTGAAAAAATGAAATAAAACAATTCATTTAGAAGGCTTGGTAGAGTACCAGGCCCTCAGAGAGTAGCTAATCATGGGTATTTTTGCTTTTTGGCCCTCTGGCTGTCATCTCCCATGATTTTCTATATGACATCTAAACTGCTCTCTTCTGTAGAATTTCCACATTGCTCCTCCATCCTCACCCACACTGATAATGATAACACCCCTATTCTCTCCACCTAATCAAATCCAATCCCTTTTTCAATTGTAACAGCTACTGGTGACAGCACGTTGACTGTTGCAGGCATTGTATTAAGAACTTGACATGCACTATCCCAACGCAGTTCTGACACCAGCTCAATGAAGTAGGTACTGTTTGTTACTCCCCAAACACAAAGACACTGGGATCTGGAGAGTGGAAGCAGTGACACAGCCGGCAGGAATGGGAACCAGAGCGTCTTACTGCAGAGTCAGGTCTCCCAGATACCCAGAGTCACGATCTTGTTAGCGGCTTCTTCCCTTCCTCCAGGGCACCGGCGACCCCTTTCCCCTTCAGACCCCCACATCTAAGGCTGTCCTACCCCGTCAGCTCTAGGGGTCTGTCTGTGGCCTTTCAAGTCAACAGGGCGGGCATTCTGTCTCACGCCACGTTGCCCGCATGATGGATCGTCCTCCAGTCTCCTTCTCTTCCTCCCTTCTTTTCTTTCTCCCATCCATTAAGTACTGAGTTCCTATGCGGTGCTAGGCTTTGTGTTCGATCACATCCAAAACGTTACCAGCGGAGAGATCTGGGGAGGACAGAATTATATGTCATTTTGCTCTTTCTGCTTTACGCCTGTTTGACTGATTTTTTTCCACGGAGCACGCACGCCAGGTCCTCGAACCCAGTTCAAAATACTGCTTTGCTAGATTGGTTTGGTCGTTGGAAGGCACTGTCCCCTTAACTCCCAGCCCCCACGCCTCCTCCACCGGCCCTCAAATCCAGGCCGCCCAGCCCCCTCCGGAAGGGGGAGTAGGGGGCGAACGCCGAAATCTGAGTGGCTCTTTCAAGCCTCCGTTGCCGTAGAAACCGGCTGCACCGACCGAGGAGGTCCATTACACCATCCTCCAGCGACGCAGCCAATGGGCTCGAGCTCCATCCCCGGCGCCCCCGCCCCGCAGCTGCGGCGGCCCACCAATGGGCAGGCCCCTTGGCTTAGAGCCCTGCCGGGGCCCAGGGACACCGCCAATGAGCTTCGACCCTCTAGCTTCAGTGTAGCAACAAGACTCGATTTTTCAAAAAAAAAAAGGAATTCTCCAAATTAGAAGGAACTAGCAGTAACGCCTGTCAGTTGCAGCCTGAATAATCTCTGATTGGTTATTTTATCTGAGGAGAACAAAACTGTTCTAATTACACAATATATGTCATTCTCTACTAAATGTTAGGCAATGAAAATTTAGGCAGTGGGGTTGGTATCTGCTAAATGTGGATTGCTTTCATTATAGGTATTTTAATTTATTTAAAAATGATCAAGGAATTAGTCATCTTTCCTTATTTGTATTTCAAATACATACAAATTAAAGCAGCCGAGTTTTTGATGCTGAGTTCATGCGACATTGACCTAAGTCAATGTCTTATTTTATTGGAGAATTTAACTCTTGGATTCACATACTAAAACTATAAGGTAAACAAATATTTCTTAATCCATTGAATAAATTCCACTTTTATGGCAGGCTGTGTAAAGGCTTTGACACTCTAAAGTCTAAATAAACTAAATGTTCTATTAAAACCTTGTCATTTAAAAAAATACTTTATTTTTTAGAACAGTTTTAGATTTACAGAAAAATTGTAAAGATAATAGTTACTATTTCCCTCATTCACCCTGTCTCCTCTATTATTAACATCTTATATTAATATGGTACATTTCTTACTATTAATAAACCAATATTGGTATATTATTATTGACTGAAATTTATAGTTCATTCAGATTTCCTTCATTTTTAAACTAATGGCATTTTCCATCCCAAGATCCCATCCAGGATGCCAAATTGCATATAGCTCATGTTTTCTTATGTTCCTCTTGTCTGTGGCAGTTTCTCAGACATCAGCATGACTTATCACTGTTGGTATTGACCTTGATCACCTGGCTAGTGTAGTGTTTGTAAGGTTTCTCCACTGTAGAGTTACTCTTCTTTTACCCCCTTTCATGCTGTCTTCTTTGAAAGGAAGTAACTATGTTTAGATCACTCAAGGAGTGGAGAGTTGCTATGTTCCACCCGCTTGATGGTAAAGTATCAATATAAGTTAGTCAGAATTTTTCTGCACTAGAGATTTGTCTCTTCCCCACTATATATTGTCATTTATTTTATCAGTATAGCTTCATACATATTTATTCCACACATTAATTTATAATCCAACACTACTTAATTTTGTTGCTCAAATTTTCTAGCTTTGGCCTTGGGGAGCTCTTTCAGTTGGCTCTTCTGTCCCTCTGACTAAAACTCCACCTTTGTGTGTCTTTTTTTTGTTGTTGTTGTTCTTGCACACCTCCTTACTTTCTGACAATATATGATGCTCCAGGCTCACCTTGTATATTTCCTGTTCCCGTCCCAGAATCAGCCATTTCTCAGAAGGCCTGATTTTTCCTACTGGAAAATGGTATTAGAAACCAAGATTTGGGCATCGTGTGCTCATTCCTACTGGGGTGTTGGTTCTTTGAAGACTTCCCAACTAAAAGAACAAAGAAATATATGTGTAAGTATACATATCTATAAATCTTTCTGTATATAACCATCTATATTTATATTAAGCTAAACATGAGTTCATATTTATATTTCCAACTCTAGTCCATTACCACAAGTTATTCTAGTCTCCCTTTGCTTATCTGTAAATTCCCACTCCAACAGTGTGAAACCTGGCTCCCACCATCCATTAACTTAATTGTTCAATTCCAGTATATGTGTATAGCAGTATCAGTATTGTTAACCCATGTCCCCATGGGACACTTTATTAATGAGAGTGCAGTACTTCTCTATACTTGCCTTTGCTTTTAGTTTTACAGATTCTTCTCATTTCTAAATTTAGTTAAGTCAATACTATTTCCCCCACACCCTTCAGTGAGATTGTTCCATACCTTTGTAATACAGTTTGATGGTTTTGTCACATTCTGCATTCCATCTTGGGATTCACCAGATGTTCTAAATTATTTTTAAAAATTTTTTATGCATTAAGGTACACTCTGTGTGTTGTACAGTCCTATGGGCTTTGACAAATGTTATGCCTGGTATCCACCATCACAGTATTGCACAGAAGAGTTTCACTGCCTTAAAAAATTCCTGTACTTCACCTCTTTAAGAGGGTTTATTCAACCCTCTCCCTACTAAACCCTGACAACTACAGACCTTTTTGATGTCTCTATAGTTTTGCCTTTTTGTGCTTTTTAAAAAAAGAGAAGACACAAGTAGAATATTTTTGTTGTCTTCTTGCTGTAGCCACCGCTCACTGAATCTTTACCATGTTCCACATCCTGAACTATTATGCTCTCCCATTTGCAGATGAGGAAACTGAGGAAAATGAGTTGAAGTAATTCACAAAGATTCATAACAATGAACAAAGTTGCCTTCAAATCCTGGACATTTTGATTGTTTAAAGGCCCAGTACTTCCATGCTTAGCTTGTGAGTCCTCTGTAGAGTATACTATATTTAGCCAATAAGATGAAGATGACTTACTTGCCAGTTTATCCAAACAATCTCAATTTATTTCTGTTGTTCCAGCATAATTATTAAGAGTGTCCCCTTTCATGATAAAGTATATGTCACCCATCCCAGGAAAAAATCCAACGAGTTTCAGAGTTGTGGGGTAAGGATTATACTCCAGGAGATGCAGAAATATGCCAATGGGGTGTGATTTCAGAGTTGCCAGATGGGACCCACTACCCAGACAAAATCCCTTCCCCCATCCAATCCCCTTCCCCTTCCTTTTCCCAATCTGAATATTCCCCAATTCCATCAGCTGTGCCATTGCTGCTAAAATGACTGACACTTGTCCTTTTCTCCCGGTGCACATGTCTCCCGTTCTGGTCTCTCGTCTCTGCCTTGTGCTTCTCTTGAGTTTCAAACTGCAGTTCATGAATTGATGACCCAGCATTCCGTCAGGGTTTTTAAAACTCTGGGATTTCACAGAAAAGTTTTTTTTTTAAATTATCTATCCCTAAAAAGAAAAAAAAACAACAAATACATTTTTAAATTTGGGGGCAGACAAAAAAATTGTATTTTGCCAAGATGAGAAAGGTCTCCATCTTCTATATTAGTACCATCTATTAGAAATGTAATGCAAGCTGTAATATAAAATTTTCCAGAAACCAAGCTTTAAGAAGTAAAAAATGAGAAAAGAAACAGGTAAAATGAATTGTAATATATTTTATTTACCCCAATATGTCCAAATTATAATCTCAATGTATTATCAATAGAAAAAATATTGGTACAATATTTTACATTTTTTAATGCTAAGTCTCTGAAAACCAGTGAGAATTTTGCACTACAGCACACTGTTTGCACTCGCCATATTTTAAGTGCTCAAGAGCCACACATGCAGTTCTATGCTATTAGTAAAAGAAAGAGCCATAGTACACTCTCTCTCTGCCTCTGTCTCTCTCTCACACACGATTATAATCTCTGGATTTTTAAAGAAGAGAATTAGATGAATCAAAAAGTAAAATCCTTGTTTTTACCATTCCTCTTTGTTCTCTATGAATGTCTCTGCCAACCATGGGTGGAGTTGCATGCTGGTGTCTGGGACAGCCACATCCACACTTCAGTTGGCTCCTTCTCCCTTCACTGAACAGGTATGGAGTCTATATTGTGCCAAGATCTGCTAGGGGATGCAATGGCAAGAGTGAAAACCAGCTGGGTCCTGAGTTCATGGAACTTCTCTTCGGCTGTGGTATACCAAGTGGAGCTGTGCAATGACAGGGTGTACTGTCTGCAGAGAATATAAAAGAATAATACCACTGATGGAAAGTTGGTCTGCATTTTATTATCACCATGTACCCACAATTCTTGTCCATGTCAATGATAAAATAACTCCTCCCCAAAGACCCAGTTGGTGGTCTAACTGGAGCCTTAATAATATATTTGTCAGCTCCAAAACAGCATATTTTAATACTTATAAACTAATAAACATTATATTCTACAAGGAAGTTCATTCAGAGCACTCCCAGTTATACAGTCAGCCCCTAACACATGCCAAGTCAGATGCGGCTACACGGGTTAGTCTTGAAAATAAGTTTGTAACAGTCTAGAATTGTTCAGGCTAAGTTTCCTGAGCACTTGTGTCTCCAGCCTCTTTGGTACAACATATGTCTCTGTTTAAACAATAGATTCAAAATAAACAATGATAGCATAGTGATTAGGACGCTGAAGAACCAGAACTTGAGTAGCTTCAATTCTGCCATTCTCTGTAACCACTTGAGGCTTTTGTATTTAAAAGTTAAAACAGTGAAACAAAGAGCAAACTGCAAAGTGTGCTAACTGCAAATTTTGTTCTTTAGCGAAACTGTATTAGAATAATGTATTATTATTAAACTTGGTAAAATTATGCTATACTGAATTTGAAAAATATTTAATATTAAAATTTTTTAAAGTTTTCTTGTTTTTAAACTGTAATGTGAATAGTATTGCAACAGACCACCACTAAGTAGGTATGTTTTTTCTTTTTTTCAAAGAAATATATTAATATAATTGAAAAGTATTGATCCAATACCCTTTTCCTTTCTTTGTACTACAATGTTTATTTCTGCTGACATGACTAAAGTTCAATAGAAGAATTTCTTATCCCTTTTTTTCTTTTGTTCACCATCTGCATTTATTTTTCTGCCCATTATCATTAGTATTATTCATTGTGTTTCATGACTGTTATTAATAACAATGTTGTCATTTAGAGGAGGTGGGTGCTAAAAAATGACGTTATGAGTGTCAGATGATCTGGGTAGGATGTGGGTGCCCTGAAGAAAGGTGCCCTCTGAGGAGGAAAACGGAGGTGGGAGTGCTGAACTGTGAGGGAACAGACTGCACTGCTTGCTATGTGGGGAAGCAGCTTGCTCATTCTAGGGCTGAAAAGAAACTGGCTCAACGAGAAAGTGGGAGAGGAGGTCAGATTGGTGAGCAGGGGTCAGACAAAGCTTGGCCTGGTGGGCCAGGTGAGTCTGGTGTTTATCTTAAAAGTAATGGAGAAACCACTGAAGGGTATTTAGAAGGGAAGAGACACAATCAGATTTGTGACTGGAACACAGCATCACTCTGGAGGAGAATGGAATGGAAAGAGACCTGGTGGGTGCAGGAACCAGGAAGGAGGCTGAGCAGGTGCCCAGATGAGAGCTGATGGTGGCCTGGACTGGCAGAGTAGCAGAGGTCAGCACTGCTCTAAGAACCTCAGTCTACCTACTGGATTCCAAATTTAACGGCCTGATGGTGAGCATGGCCTTAACTCCTGAGGCCTGCCAAATTTACACTCTGGGGCACCCTTTTGAATGGACTTTGGGTAGTCTGTATGCAGTAATAAACATCACATCTTAGTGGCAGACTCAAGTTTTGGGTTTTGTTTTCCAAAATTTTATGTCCTTCTTAGGCTCTCATAGAAATTTGAGTGAACTCATGAGAGAGAGCACCAATTTGGAGTCAAATTACCAATCATCCAGTAAATATTTACTGAGCACCTATTGTGTGCCAGGCACTCTCCAAAGGATAGAGTAGTAAACAAAGCAGATAAAAATTTCTGCCCTCTTGACATTCCAGGGATGGGCAAAAAGCAAGTGAACACATAACTCCAGGATGTGGTAAATACTATGAAGAAAATATAAAGGGTGATAGAATAATGCAAGCAAAACTTAAGACATCTCAGTACCAAACTTTGGACAGGATGTGGACGAAGAGGATCTCTTCTATGTTGCTGGTGTAAAAGTAAATTGGTACAACTTGGAAGTATGGCATTGCCTTGTAAAAGTTAGCATTCACATGTCCTCAGATGAAGCCACCACACTTCCCATGACATACTCAGGAGACTTTTCTTGCACTTGAGCATCAGAGACACATCTAGGATTGTTAACAGTAAATCTCTATAAGAACAAAAATTGGCAATAACCCAAATGTCCATTGACAAGACAAAAGATAGGAAAATTGTGGTATATTTCCACAGTGGAAAATGAACAAACTCTACACAGGAGCAATAATTTAGATGAATCAGCACTATAATGTTGAGTGAGAAAGGAAGTTATCGGAATATTGTGTACAGCAAAGTACCCTTCTGAAAAAGCTAAAGAAAAGAGAATATATTTTTAAGAAACCATATTTTAGAAAGTAAGAAAAAGGAGAAATTGGAACCCTCATACACTACTGGTAGAAATGTAAATGGTGCAGGAAATCCATGGAGACAGAAGTAGTAGAATGGTTGCTTAGGTATGAGCAGAGGTAGAGATGGTGGAGTGACTAGTAATAAGTACAGAGTTTCTTTTGGAGGTGATGGACTCTGAAATTTACTTTTATGATAGTTGCGTAACTGTGAATATACCAGTGAAGTGTACACTTTAAATGAGTGAATACCATAGTATGTGAATTATATCTCAATAAAGCTATTAAGTTTTTTTAAAATGTAAGGGAAGATTCAGGATAGATATTACCTCAGGTGAGGAAAAGCAGAGGATGGGATGGGAAAGGAGTTCACAGGGGAAGGGAATTTATTACTAGCATTCCAATTCTTGGGTTGCTTGCTGATTTCACTGGTCTTTATTGTATTACGTATATATAAATACAAACAAACATCAAGTGAGCCACCACCATGCAGGGATGGGGATGAAGAGTTTTCTAGGCAGAGGAGACAGCATGTACAAGGGCGCTGAGGTGGACCCAAACTTTCCGTGTTTGAGGATTATCCAGGAGGCCAGTATGTGGCAGCTATAATAATAACAATACAGCAGCAGCTATGGGGCCTGAGTAAAACTTTTGAAAGGCCTTTAAGCACTTAAAGAGACGGTGGTGCCCATCATATCATTTGAAAGAAAACGAGTATTAAAAGGAGAAAAGTGGAAAAGTGTTAGAAAATACAAAAAGAAAGCTTTTACTGTTCTCTAATCACTACTTTAATACCTTTTTGAAATGTTAAATCCATCCCTACCCCACCAATTTTTTTTATTATATTGGTGTCTGTATGCGGTTTTACTGTTCTCTAATCCAAGTTCCAGATAACTAGTATTTATTGAGCATTTACTAGGTGTCAGAGATGTGTTTATAGTCACTGTCCCATTTAATCTGTAAAACGACCGTAAGAGGGACAAACTACTTTTTCCCCACTTTAAGGATAAGCGAAAGGAGGCACTGGACTATGAATACAGGAATTCTAACTACATCGAGCATTGTACCGGCCATGCTGCCATTGTGAAGGTTCAAACTTGGGGCTCTCCAATGTCAGCACCCAATAAATTGGCAGAGGAACCATTTGGTAGAAAGCCTTACCTTCTTCCGAGCGTCCTGTGCCTTTAAGAGTCACCCCCGACCGCCCGCGCAAGCTCCAATTTTCCTCCCGGGCACTCGGAGCAACACCCCGCCCCCCGCCTCAGCGGAGCCGCGCTTCTGCCATTCTTCCCCGCCCCTCACCCTCTGAGTTTTCAGCCGGCGCCGGCCCAATAGTGGGTTAGATCTTTAGCTGTAGACTCGTACGCACCGCCCCAGCCAGTGCCCGCCAGCCCCTGAGGAATGCCACTTTAGAGACCCTAATCACAACCCCTCCTGGCTCCTGATTCCGAGGGGCGAGGCCTCAGCGCCCAGGCCCTAAGTGCCAGATAGGTGATCTCCCCCGGGGTAACACACGCCCGACGGTGCCTAAGCGGGCCCACACGTGGTGATCGGGGAGCGCGCAGCCCCTCCCCGCCACGCGCCAGGAGCATGAGTCGTGGACACGCCCCTCGGGGTGGCTCCGCCCTCGTGCCCGCGCACGCTTCTCCCGACCTGAGAGGCGTCGCGCCTGTGTCCCGCACTAGGCTTGCAGCCGTGTAGGGCGGGACTCGGGAATGGGGCAACCCTATATCCTCGAGCCTTGCAAGTGACTGAAAAGCGTAAAGTCAGCTCTGCCCAGAACCCTCGGCTGGTAGGCCAGGTGCCTCGGCCCCTTCCTGAGCCGAGCAGGTGAGAGAGAGCTAGGACCGCGAGCCTAGGATTCGAGCCCCAGTCTGCATTCCCTCGGTGTTTCCTATCTGGAAGGTGGGCGTCAGATGTCCTTTTTTCTCAGGTCTCTTGTGGCGCCTCAAACGAGATAAAAGAATATGAAAGGGATTCGCTGATTGGGTCTAAAAGCATTTGTTAAGCCTCTGTGTGGTTGGACTGTTGTGTACTAGGCAGGGACTACATCTATGACTCGAAGAGTCTGTCCCTTAATGAGCTTTCCCTGAGCCTGAGTCCTCCTACACTGTTTTAAGACAGTCTAAAAAGATGCCCCCGAAAGAGGATGGGGAGGAGGTCCTACCTGGCGGCAGGTGTCACTGTATAAGCTAAAATTTCAAAGACAACGCGGGGCGGGGACAAGGTTTCGGAGCCAGATGGGAAGCACGCTCGGCGTTCCCCCAACCCTCCTCCAGTTCCCAGCCTAAGAAAAGAAACCGACCTCATCCGACACCCTCAATCCCGGCCTCGAGATCGCCCAGCCCCGCAGCCCGAGCCCCGCCCCGCTCCAGCAGCCGGCGATTGGGAGATGCAAATACCATGTTCTCTGCCCAGCAACGGGTGACGCGACGCCCGAGCGCGAGGCGTGGCCCGGCCGCAGCCCAAGCCGGCACCTCGGTGTTTACACGGGGCGGCCCCGCGCGCGCCGCAGCGGCCCGCAGACGGCGAGGGGGAGGGGTGGCGCGCGCGCCAGCGGGGCCGCGCGGGGAGAAAGACACTGGAAGGCGGCGGGGCGGGGAGCGGCGCGCGCGGTCCGCGGCGGAGCAGGAGCCTGCAAAGAGAGCCCGCCGGGGGCCCGGGTGTACGATTCCTCCGCCCCCGCAAAACAATGTGCGGCGTGCAGCAGCGCGCAACTTGCCGAAGGCAGCGGGGGCGAGCCGAGCCTGCCTGAGACCGCGCCGCTGACCTTCTCCCCCGCCGTCCATTGGGCCCGAGCTCCCAGCTCCGAGCTCCCCAGTTCGCGGGGGCCGGGCCGAGCTGCGGGGCGGGGCCGCCCCTCCGTCTTTGCTGCCTCCTCCCCCACCCCCAGCCGCGGAGGATGCGGACGGCCCCCGGCGGCGTCTAGCGGCCCCGGGCCCAGGCGCGATGGTGCAGCAGCGGGGCGCGAGGGCCAAGCGGGACAGCGGGCCACCGCCCCCGGGGCCCGGGCCCGCCGAGGAGGGGGCGCGTGAGCCCGGGTGGTGCAAGACCCCGAGCGGCCACATTAAGAGACCGATGAACGCTTTCATGGTGTGGTCACAACACGAGCGGCGGAAGATCATGGACCAGTGGCCCGACATGCACAACGCCGAGATCTCCAAGCGCCTGGGCCGCCGCTGGCAGCTGCTGCAGGACTCGGAGAAGATCCCGTTCGTGCGGGAGGCAGAGCGGCTGCGTCTCAAGCACATGGCGGATTACCCGGACTACAAGTACCGGCCGCGCAAAAAGAGCAAGGGGGCGCCCGCCAAGGCGCGGCCCCGCCCCCCCGGCGGTGGCAGTGGCGGTGGCGGCAGCCGGCTCAAACCTGGGCCGCAGCTGCCTGGCCGCGGGGGCCGCCGAGCTGCGGGAGGGCCTTTGGGGGGCGGCGCGGCGGCGCCCGAGGACGACGACGAGGACGACGATGAGGAGCTGCTGGAAGTGCGCCTGGTCGAGACCCCCGGGCGGGAGCTGTGGAGGATGGTCCCGGCGGGGCGGGCCGCCCGGGGACCAGCGGAGCGCGCCCAAGGGCCGTCGGGCGAGGGGGCCGCTGTAACCGCCGCCTCCCCGACTCCGTCGGAGGATGAGGAGCCGGAGGAAGAGGAGGAGGAGACGGCAGCGGCGGAGGAAGGCGAAGAAGAGACCGTGGCGTCGGGGGAGGAGTCGCTGGGCTTTCTGTCCAGACTGCCCACTGGTCCGGCCGGCCTGGACTGCAGCGCCCTGGACCGCGATCCGGACCTGCCGCCCCCTTCGGGCACGTCGCACTTCGAGTTCCCGGACTACTGCACCCCCGAGGTTACTGAGATGATCGCGGGGGACTGGCGCCCGTCTAGCATTGCCGACCTGGTTTTCACCTACTGAGCCCACCGTCAGCGGGGCGCGCACGCCCCCAAACCAGCTGTTTACATACAGGAATCAGGTATTGGGGCCCCTCGGAGGCCGAGGCTGGCACCCCATCTCCCGCGCAGCCTCCCCCCTCGTGGACGTGCCCATCCCCCCTCAAATCCAGACATGCCCCTCCCCCGCAGACACACCCCAAGGCAGCCCAACCCCCACCCTTTCCCTGCCCTCCCAGCCCCTCCCCGTCCTATCCCCTCCTGCACAGCCACCAGCAGCCAATCCCCCGCCCCCATCCACCTCCCATTCTCTCCTCCAGACCTGTACCCCTCCCCCGCCTTGCACACGCCCCTCCTCGTGGCCGGAGGGCACGCCCCTGCCCTGGCTCCCCCATCCCTCCGCCTCTGTCTTGTCCGCCTAGTGTTTAGGGGGGCCCAGCTGCTGGGCGGCACCGCGCGCTCCTCCCTTGCCCCTCCCCTCCTCAAGAGGGGGAGGGGCGCACTCCTTTTGCCCTCTGAGCGCTGGGACCCGCCCCCTTCTCGCGCATGCTTAGTGCTTCCTGGCAGGAGGGGGCTGGACCCCGTCAAACCGCACTCCTCGGTGGCCTGCCTCGGGAAGAAGGGGGGCGGGTATAGAGGGATCCCGAGAAATCTTTTGATCCGGGAGCCGCGGCTTCCTTTCAACCCGACGGGGCGTCACTGCCTTAGTGGGAGGAGCATTCGGAAGGGGGAGAAAGACTATCTGGCCCAGAAAGGCTGGTGTGGAGCTTGGAACTCCTAAGTGGCACTGCTGCTCTTCCCTTACGGGGTCGCCCAGATCCACGTGAACCTGCCCTCTCCGACTGCTTAATTGCCTCTACAGCCAATCCTGGCCCCCAGAAACCTCTCTTCTTTCCCCCACCTGGGAAATGGGGATAGGATGTGCAAATCCATCTCGAGAGGAGAACTCAGAACCAAACACCTATCACTCTGAGAACAGTCTCCCGCCTGCTCCCTTTCCCTTCTGGGGAAGTGCCCTGTCACCTCAGGACGCACGACCAGCCTGGGCTCCCCCCTAAGCCCACAGCCCCTTCCTATCACCCAAGTCCTATGCCCACAGTGACAGTATGCAGTGGGAGAAACGTTGGTACTAGAGGCGGGTGAGCCTGAGGCTTGATAACAGATGGAGTGACAAGAAGAACCCCACTTTTAAACAGCTGGCTTGCGAGACCATCAGCTGGGCCAGTTATTGAGACTGAAGGGAGGGTCAGAGTAGTGGAGGTGTGCCGTTCGCACCTCAGTTTTTTCACGTAAAAAATACGGATAGCGCTGCTGTAGAAGCAAGTAGTGTCCGATTCAGGGTGCTCTCGGGGACCCTGCACCATATGCTGTTATCCCGTCACTCTACCTTGCCGCCCAAGCCCCGCCCCTCCGGCCTCCCCACACCCCTTTTGCCCTCACTACCTGTATCTCACCGGCGTGTGTTCATCCTCCCGGGTGTGCACACATTCTCATTCACACACACAAATCTCAGGAACAAACGGTCCCAGAGTCCTCCCGGACCCCTGCCCAGGGTCTCTGCAGGTCTCTGCCCTATGCGTTCCCGTCGCTGACAAAGCCACCAGCTGCCTCCTTTAAGCTTGGTGCTCCGGCTCTGGGCCTTTCTCGCGTTCTCTCTCTCTCTCTCTCTCTTTCTCTCTCTTTTTTTTTTTTTTTAAGAAAAACAACAAAAAAAGACAATGAAAAAAAAGCGTCATGTGAGTGAAGAGATGTCACTGTCTGTGGTCTTGGAGAACTAGTCTGGTAGCTGAGGGAAGGGGTCCCTCCCATCTGGGGCACTGGCTCCCACAGCAGGACTTCTGCCAGTCTGATGCCAGGACTGAATAAAGTGTATTTGCCCCGACCTCGCCCTGTGGTTCTACATGTCTGTGCCTTTCCTCACCCCTCCTCAGACAGTTTGCCAGATTCAAGTCCTTGTGGTTGAGCACAATGCAGGAAGAGCCAGGGGTCCCAGGGCAAGGCACCTCGCCCCTCTAGGCCTCGGCTCCCTCTATCTCAGGACCCCCTGGTCTTCATGAAGGTTGTATCCCTGCAGGGGCCAGGCAGGTAACATAAGTGAATGAGAGTCTGGGTGGACACTGGCTTCATGACCCACTCCAGGGGGCAGCTGCTCACCTGCCAGTTGTGACCTGGTGGAAATGCAGCCCACAGTGGCTGGGTGGCTAGGTTTTTCAAGAGAAGGTGGAAATTGAGATGTTTCTATGAACATCTCAATTTCAAAATGAAAGCAGACTCAAATATTTTAAATCCTTGTGTATCAAATGACACAACTGTGCAGGCATACCTGGTCCAAGGGGGCCAGTTTGACCTTGCCCTTACGAGGATGAACAAGCAGAGCTGGGACACATTGTTGGTCTCAAAGCCCAGTCCTCCACTGAGGACCTGTGTTACCTGGAGCAAGTTCACTTCACCCTGACTCTTCTTTCCGTATGCCTACCATGGGATGATAATAGTGCCTGCTTCACAGGGCGAAATAAAGTTTGAGGAGAAAAGCATCTAACACGGTGTGCAAAATTATATACTTTTCCATTGTCTAGAGGAGTAAACAGGGCCAGGGTGAAGCAACTTGTAGGAGCACTTGCAAACAGCCAAGGTCAGAGAGTGCCCCAAATCTTGGTTCTGTGTCCTGGTAAAGTGTCTGTCACCTAGGGTGCTGCCTCTCTCTCCTGTTTGAACCTGCAGATGGATGGTGTCAGGCTGTCCTCTGAGGGCCTGGAGGGGTGTGGTTGGTTCCAGTGCCTGGCATTTAATTGGCCTGCAGTATATATTAAATGAGAAAAACAGCAGAAACCAGAACAATTCCTGTCCTTGAGATTCTTACCAGTGTGTTTTGGGAACTGAGACCAAGACTTCTCAAAACTCTTTTGTCCCCCTGACATTCCTCATACAAATTCTTCCTCTGGCAGATCTGGTGAATTCCTAAGGTTAGGAAAAGCCTGTTTCCCCAAAGAACCGAGTGTGCAAACCTCATCCAGAGAGGGTATTGGGCACTGTCATCCCCATAAATACTTCAAAGAGGACTACGGCAGGTTTGGCGGGGATTGTTGCCTATAGAAAGGGGATCCCTGGGGCGGGGGTTGGGAAGGGTGCATGAATTACAGCAACTGCTTCCTCTCAGGCTCTCTGATTGGAAGCAAAATGGCAAAAAAAAGTAAGGGTTGAGAAGGTGTGGAGAATGGGTATGTACCACCCAAAACCCCAGGGAAGGAAGGACTTCCCTGGCTAAGAAGTATGGTCAGTGGAGAGCCCCCAGCTCTGGGCTCTTACAGGGTGTGCTCCAGCTACAGAGAACCCTTTACCCAGAGCAGCCCGCATCTGGTGTATCTGGTGTCGCAGTGAGATCGGGAGTAAAGCCCGCCATTTCGATTCAATGTGGGACAGACACTGACAGGCAGTACTTGCACCGTCCCCCATTCTGATACCCCAGGGTGGTGGAGGCTTTTCCAGGCCTGCAGCACAGTTGGACTTCTTGTACCCAACCCTGCTCCCCGCCTCTTCTTTCCACAGGTATTTATGCCTAATAAATATCTTGCACCCCAAATTCAGTCTCAGTGTCTGCTTCTGGAGAAGTCAGTATGCACAAAGGGTGCAAGGGGCTTGACAAAGAGAGCCAGGTCACTGTCTCAGCAACTGCACTGGGCACCTCGGATGCCCCAGCTCTCAAGAAGTCACTTCCCTTCACCGAAACGGGCATCCTCAGCCCACAAGTCACTCCAGAGCCCTCTGCCGAGGTCATTCTCATTCACAGCCCCTCCCTTGGTCGAAGGGGAGAGGCTGGTGAACCGTCTGTGTTTGCCCTTCAGAATGTCCTGGGAATGGGTAGGGTGGGGGCGGGGACAACGCCTGGCCAGAGATACAGCTAGAGCCCTGTGGCACCATGGGTGAGGTTCTTCCCCTTTGCAGGCCTTAGCTTCCCCAAGTATAGAGTGTGGGAAGGGGAAATGGGAATAGAAGAAAGCCCTGTTAGTAGTGGTATTGTGGTTCCTTCCATTTCAGAAAGAATGGATTCTGACCTGTGTAAGGTGGGGAGAGACCTGCTTATGTAGGCTCTGGGGACACCTAGTGGTTGAAAGGAGTAGGAAGCATTTGGGGATGGGGGCAGGGTGTGTATCCCATTCCTTTCGTGCCCTCATTGATTCACCTCTGGGTCAAGTCTCTGGTGGAGGCTTTTAGGGCCATCTTGGTCCCAAGCCTTTAAAGGGAAACACTATGCAGTGATGTACTGGTTATCCATAACTATGTAACAAATTGCCGCAACTTAACAACTTAGAAGTACACTTAAAAGAGCATAAACTTGAAAGATGGCTTAAAAGAAAAGAAAGGTCTCTATGGTCAGGTGTCCAGGAATGCCTTAACTGGGTTTTCTGCTCAGGATCTCAAAAGGCTACAGCCAAGGTGTTGGCTGGGCTGTGTTTCTTTCTGGATCTCAGTGTCCTCTTCTAAATTCATGTGGTGGGCAGAATTCAATTCCTTGTGGTTAAGGACTGAGGTCTGTGTTTTCTTCCTGGTTGTCAGCTGGGCCACTCTTGAATCCTAATTGCTACTCACAATTTCTTTCCTCATAAGCCCTGTCACAGTGTGGCAGCTCATTTTGTCAAGGCCAGCAGGAGAATCTGCAGCATTGAATCACTTGGCTCAGGGAAGGCTTTCTTTTAAAGGGCTTACTTGATTAGGTCAGGCCCACCCAGGAAACTCTCCCTTTCGGTTAACTAAGAATCAACTAATATGTGACCTTAATCACATTTACAAAATCCCTTCACTTTGCCATGTAATGTAACCTTGTCACAAGAGTTATATCCATCACACTGGTCTTGCCTGCACTAAGGGAGGAGGTTATGTTGGGCATGGGTGGGAATCTTGGAATTCTGCTTATCATAGCTGCAGATTCTCAAGTCTGTATCTCCGTCCTGACATTGCCAGACTTGTATGTCCAGCCGTCATCTCCATTAGGATACCTAATTGGCACTTCAGATTTGGCATGTCTAAAGACAAATTCTTGTTTCCATAGTGCTCCAAAGCCTGCTCCCCTACCCCACATCATTGCAGCTCATATTACTAACAGGCTGAAAACCTCTTGGTTATTCATGACTCTCCTTTTCCTCATAGCATAATATCACATATATCCTGTTGGTTCTACCTTCAGAATGTGTCCTGTGTCCTATCATTTTTCATCTTTTCTATGGCCACCTTCCTGATCCTAGCCCCCGTCATCTATTGCCTGGTACCCTGTACCACCCTCCTCATTGGACTCCTTTCTCTTTTGCCCCAGTCATAGTCTCGTCATCCACAAAGCAGCCAGGGGGATCTGGTTAAACTATAAATTAGACCATGACCTGCCTCTGCTCAAAACTCTCCAGTGGTCCCCATCTCATCCAGACTAAAAGCCCAAGTCCTTTGCACAGCCTGTGAAGCCTAATGGGCTCTGGCCTGTGGCTCATGATATGGAACGCATCTCCTAGCCTCAGTAGGGCTGGGAGAACACAGAGGAGGCATTTAATCCATACATTGAGTGGAATGTAGTTGGGTCTCTCCTGGAGGAGGTGATATTTAAGCTGTGACTGAAACCTCAGGAGTTTGCTCTGGTTTTAGAACATGGCTACAAGTTCTTATCAACTTTCTTCCCCTCAGATCTGAGTTGGCCTTCATGATCCACTTGTAACCAATAGGATGCAGCAGATGGAAGCTGTAGATGTCTACACTGAACCACATGTATTAAGTCCAACAACTGTAAGACCATCATGTGGAGAAAAAGCCAAAACACATGGAGAGACCACGTGTAGGTGCTCCAGGTGATGCAGACATCTGCCCAGGCGCCAGACACATGAATGAAGAAGCCTCCAGATTCCAGCCCTCAGTCATTCAAGTCACTCCCAGCTGAAGAAATGTCTTCTTAGCTGCAGCTCAGCCATCATGCAGCAGAAACAAGCCATTCCCTCTTGCCCTGTCTGATTCCAGACCCACTGAGTCCATGAGCATACTGAAATGGTGGCTATTCACAGTACTAAGTTTGGGGTCAGTTTGTTTTGCAGCAATTATAACTAGAAGAGTAGGATGAGGCAGATTCAGATGAAGGATGAAGGAGGATGCAGGCGAAGGAAAAAGCTTTCCAGTAATAGCATGTGGGAAGACTCGGCAAGAGAAGATGACATGGGAAGAAGTTAGCTATGGCTGGAGGTGTGGTAGGAAAGAGATGGACTGGCAAGAGCATGATGGACCTTAAAGGCTGGACTTGATCCGAGTCTCCATACTGCAGCCAGAGGGGTCTTTTGAAAACAACCCTGAGCACCACTGAAAACCTTTTGGTGGCTCCCTAATACCTTCAGGATAAAGTCTAAAGTTCTTGGCATGGCATTCAAGGCCTTCTACAGTTAACTACTTTACTGTTTTACAGACTTTTCTTTAGTTATGAGCTCTATCCTAAACTGCCTAAGCCATGCCAGGCCACTCCCCATGGCAATGCCCTTCTATGCCATTTTCCTTCGGTCTTGTTGAGAAATTGGAGGGAGTTGGAGCTAATCCCCTTGCCTTTTGAGGCTTCAGTTTCTCCACCTGTACAGTCAGGTGGCTAGACTAAAAAAGTCTTGAAGAACATATCCAGCCTGGTATTTTTGAGCCTATGAAAAGGAGGGAGAAAGGTGCTTTCAGCCAAACCTGCCTGTCTAGCTTCTAGGTTGCCTAGCAATGGATGCCAACCCTCTCCCCCATCCTTGGAGGTTTCTTAGCAACCCAATTTCTCGCCCTCAGTTGTTTTCAGGGTTTCCTGTTAACTGAATGTCAAATTCTGTTTTTTCTCCTCCCCACAAAAAATCTGAGGCCAGAGATCTCTTTGGAGATCTGGATACA